AACTTAATTTAGGATCCTTATAACCCAATTTGGGGCCCTTATGACTCTGCTGATAACTAGGGGGGCCCCTCCTTGTAGCCCTATCGCTTTGGCCGTTCGCGGGCTTCTTGCTTGGGTGACTTGTTTTTCGGGCTCCCTTCTCTGCAACCTGAGCTACAGTAAACTCCAGAAAGTTGGCACATGGTTCTAAGGATGATTAGAGCTGGGATTCCCTTTCGTATACCTTTGGGGGTATGGGGATAAGGATGTTCCAACTTGTTCTGGGGTTTACTGTATGCTTCTCTGTAGGTTACGAGGGCCTGGTTCGCACACTTCTACTGGTGTTATGACTAGTTTGATTGTTATTCTTGGCAGTTAAGCAAAAGGGCACCCTTTTTCCTCCCAGGTTACTGGGCAACCTAGAATCTGGTTACTGGGGTACCAAGTATTGGCAAAGGCCAGAGATTCGAAGCAGTTGCAACTTGCGGGAACTTTAGAGGAAGAAGCCCTCCCACCACTTCCACAAGCACCAAAATACAAGTCTCAGGGTGTAGGGCCAGTGTAGGGTTTAGGATTAAGGGTAGGTGTTCCCCAGTCAGCTTGGAGAGCGACTGGCTCCGGCAAGGTCAGTGTACACGGTGGTTGCTTGAGAGCTTTCGGTGGCGCATTGGAATCTGGTTTGCCTTCAGTCCAGTAGCACAAATGGGTATGTAGAGCCTAGGATTTGGGCAACCTCAAATCCCATACCCTGAGCCCCAAAACCCTAAACGCGAAACCCCACAACCCTGAACCCCAAATCCCGACACAGGTTCCCAGACCTTGGAGGATCCAAAAAGCAGAGCCCCCAAACAGTACCCTATACTACGATTGGATCCTCCCCTAAACCTTAAACCTTACACCCTAAACCCGAAACCCTAAACCCTAGGGCGCAGCGTGCGAGGCTGAACAAGATCCTCAGGGCCAGGTCTGAGCCCTACACGGTCTCTCGGCCTGAAGGTTTCAAGTGTTGGGAGCGACCTTGCGTGCCAGTTGAAGGCTTTAGGGGGTTTAGGGTTTAGGGTTTAGGGTTTAGGGTTTAGGGTTTAGGGTTTAGGGTTTAGATTTTAGGGTTTAGGGTTTAGGGTTTAGGGTTTAGAGCTTTACGGTTCGAGGGGTTCAGGGCTTTAGGGGATGGAGGATTTTGAGGGTTCGGGGGTTTCCGGATGTCGTGGTTTAGTCGAGAAGTGTTGTGGGCGTTGAGGCTTGGGCGTTTGAATCTACCAGACCGTTTGGAGGATCCAAAAAGTAGAACCCCCCCAAATGGAACCCTATACTACCTTTGGGTCATTCTTAGGAACCCTTAGTACTTTGAGGATCCTTCCGGGGGGTCTACGTGGCGCTGAAAGACGCAGGTGGTGGGTAGTGGGTAATGTATATACACACAGCTTGTAGCAGCATTGCAGGCTGAGCTCACAGCTTTACGTGCAAAGGTTGCGATTTTCGCCTAGTAGGTGTGTCTTTTGGTGCGCCCAGTAGCACGAACCACCCGCTGGCAAGCGCCGCACTGGGATGGCGGCACAGGTTCTCTTTTGCTTTTGCAATCTTAGGGTCCCTGAAGATGGGGGAGCCCTTCTGTGCCCTAAACCCCTGGACCCCTGCATTATATATATATATATATGTATATATCTATATATATTTATTTATTTATTTATTTATTTATTTATTTATTTATTTACCCTATAAAGCAGTTTCTCTTCGCTTCGCCCTCGAAGGGCCAAAGTGAACATCTAAGTGTCACGAAGCCCCGCGCCACTCGAAGACTCAGATGGCGACAGAACCCCAAGACCGCTAACTTGGTGCCAGGGCAAATTCTCTTGGGGCTTAGGGTTGAGGATTTGTTTAGGGTTTAGGGTTTAGGGTTTAGGGTTTAGGGTTTAGGGTTTAGGGTTTAGGGTTAAAAAGGGTGGTTGAGGTCATCAACTACCTGGAGATACCCCAGCCGCGGACGATGCACATCGAGGCGGTACTGTCCAGGTGGACCGGCAGGGCTTAGGGCTCTGGGTTTTTAAGTTAAGCCCTAAACCCTAAACCCTAAACCCTAAGCCCTGATGAGGGAAAAATGGTTCAGAGGGTTCCAATGGCCAATCGAAGGCGAGGCGGGGCTGCAACACATAATTTTAGGGTTTGGGGCTTAGGGTTCAGGGTTTAGGGTTCAGGGTTTAGGGTTCAGGGCTTCAGGGTTCAGGGCTTTAGGGCGTCGAGATTAGGGTTCCCGCTTACAGAGTGGCTGAGTTTGAGAGTTCAGGACCCTCCAAAGCCCCTCAAACCCCAAACCCTAAACCCCCAATCTCAGGCTTGTCCCTGGTCACAATCACAGCGACAGTGGCACGCTGCCTGTTAAGCGAGAGACCTGGCTGGCCAGGGTCCTCCTTGCACTTCTTGAGGTTTAGGGTTTAGGGTTTAGGGTTTAGGGTTTAGGGTTTAGGGTTTAGGGTTTAGGGTTTAGGGTTTAGGGTTTAGGGTTTAGGAAACCCTAAACCCTAAACCTTAAACCCTAAACCCTAAACCTTAAAGCCTAAACCCTAAACCCTAAACGCCACAGGCGTGCACACACCACATTCAAGCATCCCGTCACGGAGGCCTGGGCGAGGCTCGAGAGGACATGTAGTAACCCAGGACCATTCAGTTGTATGCATACTGAGGGGTGAGAGCCCGCTGCTGCTCAGCTAGGGGGGCCGAAAACAGCTCCCGATACTAGAAGAGGACATGTAGAAACCCGGGACCTTTCATTTGTATACCTACTGAGGGGTGGGGGCCCGCTGCTGCTCAGCTAGGGGGGCCGAAGACAGCTCCTGACACTCGTAAAGAGTAGCCCTCCTTTGAGCATGTTGGTCACAGCACCCAATGAGGTGCTCGATAGAATCGTCCAGGCCTGCCGCCTATCCATATAAGTTCCCTTCCCCTTACCTGGTATGGCATAGGCTGGTTGTAGTGGCAACTGGTTCCTGGAGGAAACAAGGTGGGTGGAGACCTGGCATAGTTGTACAAAGTCATCAACCAAGCCAGTACCGCAGGCCAAGGTATCTGCTTTACTGTGCTCAGATACGGGGGGGGGTGTAGTCCTGTTGTGCTATTACGGGTTACCGGTCAACATGTGACAAGAATCTTTGGTCATGCTTGGTCCAGGCGCGGAACCCCCCCCCAGACAAACTTTCAATCCGATAACATTGTCCTACCATGAATGCCTTATGGGCGATATCCCTGTGGCCGTTCACACACAGCCTGGGGTGACAGTTCTTCTTTTCTAGTTTCCGACCTTGTACCCCGCATTGCCGTGGCTAGTCGGGTGGCAAAAAAAACCCTCAACCCTAAACCCTAGGCCAAAAACAGCAACCCTAAACCCTATATAAACCCTGGACCCCTGACTCACTCCACCCCTGGAGTTATTTAGGGGGATGTGGGGAGCTTCCCTAACCCTGAACCCTAAGCCCTAAACCCTCACTGGCTGAGCCAAGGACAAGTTGGAGGAGATGGCTGCAAGAGGTCCTACGCTCACCAAGGAACAGGTCAGAGTTTCCATTCATGGCCTAGATGTCAGCAAGGGTGCAGTTCTCTAGAAATAAGGTTTAGGGTTTAGAGTTTAGGGTCTAGGGCTTAGGGTTTAATTAGGGTTGAGGGGGCGCTCACCAAGGAACGGGTCAGGTGTCCATACAAAAAAGGTGGGAAGAAGTACTAACCCCTCTGTCATTATACCATAATAACCCCCCCGAAACCCTATTCTAATTATTAAGGCCCCTTGATTATATACATGCTTTAGATTTCAATAAGGGTGGTTCATTTTGGGTACAGGCCCCCTTTTCAAAGAACTACCCATGCAGGTATTGTCATTTCCCCGTCAACAGGACGCAACAGGTAGAACCTTCGGACGTTTTGCCGTGCATGGGATGAGAACCCTAAACCCTAAACCCTAATAAACCCTAAACCATATGCCCTGAGTATGCAAAGAAAGGTGGAGTTCATCGACTGGTGGGGCGGCAAGCTGAGCTACGAGGGGAAGATGCTCCGGTGCAACCGCAGTGGCACCATCCATCCAGACCTGGATCCCAACCAGATGGGCAGCAGCCTTTGAGATCATAAGAACCTTCGTGGCCCAGTGGTACCCTTTTCCCTTTTTTGGTTCAGAGTTCCCTTATAAACAAAGTAAACCAACCCAAAGAAAAGGTTGCACTTCTTTATAATATGGCTACTGTGCTACCAAGGAACCGTCTGGATCTTGAAGTCGCTTGGAGGATGTCATCGCAGCCTCGGTGAGCAGGGAAGGTGCTGTTGGCTGAGCTCGCACACGGACTGCCCGTCATCCCATGCAATTCTGTGAGGCGGGCTGCTTGGAGCGGAATGTAGGCAAACAGGTAGGAAGGGTTCATCCGAGATGCCAGAGATACCGAAGGACTGAATCTCTGATCCTGCCGCACGCCATCGTTAAAAAGTGCCCGTGCAAGATGACAAGTTCACCTCCCCTCTCCCGTTGGAATTGGAGCACACCTGCGTCGAAAACAGTATACCACTTTTGGTTATATAAACCACAAAGATTTAAACCTTCTTTAAGGTACCCCGAAAAGGGACCAGAATTGGGAAAACTGCGCATATGTCTCTTGCTATTGAGAGTGTCGTGAAGAGATGTGCGTTTGGCCCCATGTCATGTCCCTTAGCCGGCCCGCTACTCGGAGCTCAGAGATACTTGGAAATAGTTTTGTTAAAGTATTTGGGTACTAAAGTTCCTAAGAAACAGCTAAAGTTCCTAAGAAACAGAACTAAAGTTCCTAAGAAACAGCGGAAATTAGATTTTTTGGCTAGGGTTCCAAGTTCAGTCTTAGTAGCTGAATGAGTACACTTGACACTTTTTGGGATAGTATAATCCCCCATAGAACTGCAGGGTTTAGGGTTTAGGGTTTAGGGTTTAGGGTTTAGGGTTGGGACAGCCAAACCGGGCGGGGGCATGGCCAAGCTCGTTGCAAAAGGGTTTAGGATTTAGGGAGCCTTAGGTGGGTACAGCGAGATTCTCCTCGGTGACCTCCCACTTGGGCGTGGCGCAAAGCCGCCGCGATGACGTAGAAGCCCTGGCCTACTTGCTCCTCGGATGCATGTATTCAAATCTTGCCCATTTAGTATTATAATTGTGACTAGTAGAGTGACTAATACTAGTATTGTTTCTACTACTAGATTATGATTACTATTACTATCATGAATATTATGAATTAGAACTGTATTGAGCGCTGCTTAAGCATGAGGTTTTGGAAGCTTATGGGTGGCTCCGAGTTTTGGGAGTTCAAGTTTGGGAGTTCAATGGGGTTTGCAGAGCTGACGAAAGCACCCCAAACCTCCAAAATCTAAGCAAGACCCCCCCCCCCCCAGCCCTCAACCATAAACCCTAAACCCTAAACCCTAAACCCTAAACCCTAAACCCTAAACCCTAAACCCTAAACCCTAAACCCTAAACCCTAAACCCTAAACCCTAAACCCTAAACCCTAAACCCTAAACCCTAAACCCTAAACCTAAACCCGGAACCCAGGCTACTCTACCTACGCCGAGGGCGGCTTCCCTGGCAGGGACTTGGAACAGCCACCGAGGAGGCCAAATATGAGCCCGGGCTGAGTATCGTTGCATCTTGCACACCTCTTTGCCTACACTTGGGGTTTAGGGTTTAGGGTGTAGGGTGTAGGGTGTTGGGTGTTAGGGTGTAGGGTTTAGGGGCGGCAGTTGAAAAGCCCTATACAAGCCAAAAGGACCCAGAGTAGGTCCTCTTTTCCCCTTTTTCTTAGGCTAGGTTGCTCTTGGGTCTAGAAGCCCTGAGAGGGTTTAGGGTTTAGGGTGTAGGGTTTAGGGTTTAGGGTTTAGGGTTAGAGGGCCTGAACTTGCAACCCAGGAGCGGATTCTCGATGCCAAGATGTCGGGGGCCTTGGACGGAGGGGGGGAGGGTGTCACGCCAGTCGGAACTTCTTGGACCTAAGCCCTATGTAGGGTTAATTAAGCCCTAAACCCTAAGCCCTAAACCCTAAACCCTAAATGCTTTCGGTGAGCATCTTATGGTTCGCTTGGTGGTTGTGCGGACTCCGGGGGGGGGGGGGGGTAGTTTGCAACGCGCTTTTGCAGCGATCGAGGGACATGTACTCTCCTCGGAAGGAGTGCGCTAAATTTTGATATTTTTACATTTATGTATCTACAAGATAAGCATGTGTACAAAAGATAAATACATATATATATATAGATATATTTGTTTATTTATTTACACTTCTATTTATGTTTATATTTACATTTATATTTATATTTAGATTGGATCTAGATGTTAAAATATGCTTTGTTTTAGCATAGCTGACAGGAATTCTACTCCTACCATCCCTAATCCTAAGCCCTAAACCCTAAACCCAAAGGTCCATCACGCCTGCAGAGCTGTGCAAGGGTGAGCCGGCACAGTTCGCAGCGTTCCTCAAGTATGCACGTGGCCTAGGCACACAGGGGGACGCGAGGGCATAGGGCCACTGGGTTTTGGGGTTGTTTTGATTTTTGTTTGGTGACGAGGCTTTGGGTGTTCAAGGCTTGGTTCGGAGGGTTTAGAGATCTTGGTGACGAGGGTTGGGGTTTGGGGTTCAAGTGCTTGTTGGTTTGGGCCGAGGACCAGACCAGCTCCCAAGTAATCACAGACATCTTCAAAATTAGTTGAACCGCTACGGCGAGATTAGATCAGAGGCCAAAAGTCCTCAACAAATGGTTATTAAGCCCCAACATCGTAGGTACTCTATCGCCATCCTGGCCATACTTGTCGATCGTACCGTACTTGAAGACCCTGGTAAGCCCTGACACTTTCTTCTTGGCCCGGAGCCCCTTGTGTTGTTTAGGGCTCATAGCCTTTATAAATCCCATAAGCATGGCCCCCCCCCATCATAGTGCTTCTAGTACCTATATTCACAAGCCCCCTAAGCGCCAACAAGTTCTCCAGGCTACACTGAGGAGCCGGACTACGCGAAGCTGCGCGGGCTGTTCCGAAGCGTTCTGCTTCAGCAGAAGGAGCTGCACCTTCGAAGCTACATGGGGGTTGAGCGAACTTTAACAGCTCCCTCAAGCCCCCCCAAAAAGGAAACTGATTTTGCGGGATTCAGGGGTACATGTCAGAGACACAGCGTCCGCTCTTTCAAACCTGCCTTAGACTTTTGTAGGATTATGAAGTCAGTATATTCCAAAACCCTAAACCCCTAAACCCCTAAACCCCTTAACCCCTAAACCCTAAACCCCACATCAAGTGGTGTTGGCCTCTCTGGGGGGTCCATGGGGGGGGGCCTTCTCCGAGCACAGGGCGTGCAGGAGGCGAACATGCGGGACCTTGCATTCGACTGGGAGGCCGGGAAGGGTTCAGGGTTTAGGGTTTAGGGTTTAGGGTTTAGGGTTTAGGGTTTAGGGTTTAGGGTTTAGGGTTTAGGGCTTAGGGCTTAGGGCTTAGGGCTTAGGGCTTAGGGTTTAGGGTTTTGGCTTGCAAAGCCTGCTGCCAAAGATTTAGGGTTTGTGTCCAATGCGATCTTGCATTTGAGGCCGGGTAGGTTTAGGGTTGGGTCTGTGTCCGGCGTTTTGCGCAGGACCTTCGGGGCCTTTGGGGCATTTCCGGGCCTTTAAGCTGTCTTGGTGGACCTGCAGGGTGTTCTTGGGTGCCTGTGGGCCGTTTCTCCCGACGACTTTTTCTGGGAGCTTAAGGGCACTTTTGGGGTGCCTTTGGCCTCACAGGCCGTTTCTCCGAAAGACTTCTTTGGGGGCCTTGCTTGCGCTCGTTTGCGGCGCAATTTTGGAGGGGAGCTTCGTGCAGCGCCGACTTGTTAAACAAACGGGGTTTCGGGTTTAGAGTTTCGGGTACCCTTCAGCCCTTACACCCTCAAGCTCCTCAACCCGCGACAGCCCTTAAACCATTACACCCTTAAGTCGCTTGAACACCTGAGCCGTCCCGAAGCTCAAGCACTTCTGGTGCTCCTCTACTAAGCATTAGAACCCTTAAACACTAAAGCCTTCAGAACTCGATAACCTTCCTGGAGCCCCAAAATCCGAAATCCCGAAACCCTAAACCCTAAACCCTAAACCCTAAACCCTAAACCCTAAACCCTAAACCCTAAACCCTAAACCCTAAACCCTAAACCCTAAACCCTAAACCCTAAACCCTAAACCCTAAACCCTAAACCCTACACCAACTCGCAGGTTGAAGTTCCTGCGGCCAAGGCGCTGGACTTGGCGAAAGAGTCCACGAGGCTGCAAGAAAAAATGGGGTTTAGGGTTTGGGGTTTAGGGTTTAGGGTTTGGGGTTTAGGGTTTAGGGTTTAGGGACGTAGGGTCTAGGGCCTTCGGGATGTAAAGCTTTGTAGGGTTCGGGGTCTTAGCGGTTGGGGTGGTTTAGGGTTTGGGAAGACAAGAGGCTTGGGCCTTGGGGTTCGGAGGTAGCCCAGTGTGGGGAAAAGGAGGGGAGGGGGGAGAAGGGGGGGGGAGGTCGAGGGGGGGAGGGGTGGGGGGCTGTGGATACAGCATCTTCCATCCGGAGTACGACCTGGTTGACTTGAAATGTCCTTCGGAAGCATGCCTTTGTCTAGAGAACAACCACCCCGAGACAGCAATCAATGTTAAATGTCTATCATGGTTCTAAGAGTGGACCATGGTTGAATTGACTTCGAGAATTAGAGCAGTGGCAAACGTCTTGTCTGTCCGAACGGCTTTGGCAAGAAACAGCGGGATGCCGTGTCGGAGGGATGTACAGTTCAGCTAGGTAGGAAGCACCAACCAAACCTACACCCAAACCGCAAGCCCCCCAGGCAACAGACATACAGAAGGAGTCTAAGGTTGAGTGGGCGGGGCTAGAGTTTGGGGTTTAGGGTTTAGGGTTTAGGGTTAGGGTTTAGGGTTTAGGGTTTAGGGTTTAGGGTTTAGGGTTTAGGGTTTAGGGTTTAGGGTTTAGGGTTTAGGGTTTAGGGTTTAGCGTTTAGCGTTTAGCGTTTAGCGTTTAAGATTTAGGGTTTAGGGTTTAGGGTTTAGGGTTTAGGGTTTAGGGTTTAGGCTTTTCGGAAAGCCAAGGCCCGTCACGGACGGCGCCTTGGCGAACTCCAGCGCGCCACCGGCAGTGAAGGGGCGATTCAAGGTTGCTGTTGTCGAAAACTCTCCAAGGAGGGGCCCCCTTACTATACTAACTGTAGTTAAGGGACTGTAGTTAAGGGACTTATAACCTAATATAGGATCCTTATACCCCAATTCGAGGTTGCTGTTGTCGAAAACCCTAATCCCTGAAACTATATCCCCCTTGGGAATCATTTTTTAGTTTTTGTTTTTTATAAAACCCAAGAGGATACTTAAAAATATTATTTCTATTAAGGTTCTAAGGGGAGTATAGGAACTTTGAACCCTGCTGAACCCTCATTTCTTCAGCAAGCCGTGACGCATCCACTTGGATATCCCAAGGCAAAGAGTTCCAAGAATTCTGAATGGCCAGTAAGAGCCCGAACCGTTAAATCCCCTTAACTTTAGGGTTTAGGGTTTTAGGGTTTGGGGTTTAGGGTTTAGGGTTTAGGGTTGATGCTCAGCATACCCAAAACAGAGTGTGGTCTTCGGGCCTCACAACGTGCACACGCTCCGCGTGAAGTGCGGTTTAGGCTCTCGAAGTGGCTTTTTAGCGCTGTCTGGTGTCCATGCTGGCAGAATGATGCTCATGTAGCTTGTTTCAAGGAATGTATAGAGGTTCTAGGGGAAGTAGAGTGTAGGGATCCGAATGATGTTACAGGGAGGAGCCCCCTTACTATACTAACTGTAGTTAAAGGATTTAACTTAATTTAGGATCCTTTCACCCAATTTAGGGTCTTTATAACTCTACTTCTAACTAGGGGGGCCCCTCCTTGTAATGCAACTTGAAGTTGTAGGGACTTAGAGTGTAGGGGTCCTGCGATTAAGACATGCCGATGCCGGCATTTGAGCTTGCCTGTCCGGGGCGTTCTTAAAGGCCCTTAAACTATATCTCCCTTGGGAATTATTGTTTGTTTACTTTTGTTTATATAAAACCCAAGAGGACATTAAACATATTTTGTTTATTAAGGTTCTAAGGGGAGTATAGTAAAGCCCTGTAAACAATATACGGAGGGTACCCCAAAAGGGACCCTGATTTACAGACCTGACCAAATGACCTCCCCAAAGCGAAGCCCCAAGCTCCAAGAATAATCCACCATACCCCAAACCCATACCCTGAACCTCTAAAAGGAGAATTTATAAGGAATAATGTTTGCCATACTTCTTGATTGCTTTTAAGGCGGATGCCCAAAGGGGTATGTTGAATATTTCTTAGAGAAGCGGTTTAGGGTTTGAGGGCTTTAGGGTTTAGGGTTTAGGGTATCTCATCCGTGCCATGCCGACACCCAAGGCCCTGCCGCCAATGGCCCCAAAACTGGTCGAAGCCGCAGCAGAAGCTTGTGGCCGCAGTTAGGGTTTCGGGTTTAGGGTTTAGGGTTTAGGGTTTAGGGTTTAGGGTTTAGGGTTTAGGGTTTAGGGTTTAGGGTTTAGGGTTTAGGGTTTAGGGTTTGTTTCTTGATGAGAGATGTTCTGTGAGGCCCGCTGGCTCTTCTGATTGGGCATGGGGTCAGGCTTGTTGTGTCAGAAGTTGCCAAGAGACGGGGCCGGAGGCGGAAGGGCATGCAGAATTGGGCGAGCACGTTTCAGGACCCCCATGGCAGATTTAGAAGTCAAGTCTCTAAACCTTAAACCCTAAACCCTCAACCCAAAACCTTCTGCTTTGTGAGGAAGTCGCCGGAAGTGCCGCAGGAGAAGCAGCAGCAGCAGCGGCAGCAGCATGACCAGAAGCCCCGATCGCGCGCGAGAGATTGATGGTGCTCTGGTCTCACGATGTATGGGACCCCAAAAAACCCTAAACCCTAAAACCTAAACCCTAACCCCTAAACCCCTAAACCCCAAACCCCAAACCCTAAACCCTAAACCCTAAACCCTAGTGTCTGTGCATGGGTGCACACCTCGCTTCCTGAAGTCCGACCAGGAGAGACCTCCAAACCCTCAGCCCCAAGCTCAAAAGTACCTCCTACACCCTAAGCTCGCGGTTCATAGACTTTCAGAATTCCTGAACCTATAGCGCATAGCGTTTAGGGTTTAGGGTTTAGGGTTTGGGGTTTGGGGTTTGGGGTTTGGGGTTTAGGTTTAGGGTTGAGGGGGCCTAGACTGCAAAAAGTACCAAACAGAAGGTACGTGGGCCATTATGACGGGAAACTTGTTTGAAAATCTGAGTAAAGCCCCAGGCACCTACAGTCTAGTAGCAATTCCCCATGGGGAGGTGCAACCCGGGTTTCGGGTTTAAGGTTTAAGGTTTAGGGTTTAGAGTTTAGGGTGTAGGGTTTAGGGTTTATGGTTTAGGGGGGCCTGAAGCCCCAAGCCCTACGGGCCGGACCAAGATGGCCAAAAACGATATAAAAACCTGCATAGTTCTACATCTAGCACTGAACTTAAGGCCCCAGCGATTCCCAAAAGACCTCCTCTAGCATTCTTCACACGCACACACACACACACACAAACACACACACACACACACACACACACACACACACACACACACACACACACACACACACACACACACACACACACCACACACACACACACACACACACACACACACACACACACACACACACACACACACACACACACACACACACACACACACACACACACACACGCACCCTAAACCCTAAACCCTAAACCCTAAACCCTAAACCCTAAACCCTAAACCCTAAACCCTAAACCCTAAACATTTACCTCCAGGGGCGGACCTGAACTCTCCCCAAGCCCCGCAAACCAGGGCCTCGAGGTTGGGTTGTAGACTTTGAGGTGGTTTAGGGTTTAGGGTTTAGGGCTTAGGGTCTAGGCTTTACCTGAGGTTTCCCCGGGACTCTACTTACCTACAGTTTAGTAGAAGCCACCCCTTAATTAGTAGGTAGAACCCAAAAAACTGTAGGTAAAGAGAGTCCCTAGGGTCCACATGAGCGAGGATTACCCGCAGCGACGGCCCCAAACTGTTTTTGTGAGGGGGCAGGAGGCTACAGGTTTCGGGTTGCTCATGGCGCTTCCTTGCTTCCGAAATCTCCAGCTCTTAGCCGTTCAGCCCTGAACCCTGAACCTGAAAAAATCGACAACTTTGAACAACCTTGAACCCTGTGCGAGCCTATGCTGTACAGAGGTCGGTACCTGGAGGCCTAGCAGGTGTTTTTTAGAAACTTTTGACCGCGAAGCCGAGCATGGTGGCCTCGACGGGCGATTTTCCGCGCAATGCCTTGAGCGAACCCTGCTTGCACTTCATGTGTGTGGGGGTTTTAGGGTTGAGGGTTTAGGGTTGAGGGTGTGGGGGCGAACCCTGCTTGAACTTCATGTGTGTAGGGGTTTAGGGTTGAGGGTTGAGGGTTTAGGGTGTAGGGTGTGGGGTGATCCGAATCGGGGTACCTGTTGAAGTCCCTCTTGCAATGCGTGCATTTAGATCTACGGCCTCAAAAAATAGATCACAGGTGAGAGTAGTGGCTCCCTATGTTTCAGCACCTGTCGTGATGGCTTGTTGCGGAGACGTGCGTTGACAGCTCGCAGGCGCAAAGAAGCTACGCCCCCTTGCTGCAAGCCTGCCAGCAGAATTTCTGTTTGACTCTGTGTAAGGACCCTGCTATCACTAGCCTCGCCCTGGCTGCCATGAGGGTCAAAGCAGGGAGCTTGCTCGATCCTGCCCTAACCCCCAAGCCGCCAACAAGAAATGACCCCGGTCGACACGCTGCTCTGTCGTCAAGACGTCTACCCTAAACCCGAATCCCTAAACCCCTAAACCCCTAAACCCCTAAACCCCTAAACCCCTAAACCCCCTAAACCCCTAAACCCCCTAAACCCCTAAGCCCCTAAACCCCCAGACCCAGAAACAGAGGAGTTTTCGGCTACAAACTATGCTTGGCACAGGTGCAGGTAGAGGAGACCCATGACAGCGAGCACGAAGAGGGTCGGAGGTGGTGGTGCTTTTGGACGATTCTGAACGCGGTGTCCTGCATACTGGCGCCTCGGTTTCGCGAACAGGGTGTCTATATCCCTCTTGGGAGTTTAAAAAAAATTGTTTATGTAAAACCCAAGAGGATATTAAGAATTCTATATTTATATTAAGGTTCTAAGGGGAGTAGAGGTGTAGGGGAGTCGAAGGCCTAGCCGGGCGCAAGCCTTGCCCAGAACCCACTTGAATCCTGAGCTGCAGATATAAACCTCGGGGTTTAGGGTTTAGGGTTTAGGGTTTAGGGTTTAGGGCAAGCCCTACAAGGCAAAGAACATGTTGAAGATTGTGAACTTTCAAAGGCCAAGTGGATTAGGAGTGGTGGACATGCCTCCTCAAAGGTTTTCTTGGCCTCTCGCAAACGAGACAAGAGGCACCAACATCAAAGTGAGCAGCTGTGTACACCCCCCCCCTCTTTCACTCCGCATAAAAGCGCGAACGAGGTGAGTTTTTGCTTATTATAGACCCAGCATGGCTCCTCCATCGTGCCCTGGCCAGGGGCATTGAGGGATCAGGGGCATAAGAGCTCTTGAGCCCTAACCCCTAGGGTTTCGGCAAGGAGCTTTGCCTACTCATGATCCGAAGATGGAAGATCCCACAGCCTTGGACCCTAAACCCTAAATCCTCTGCGGTTCGGCCGGCTATGCGGGAGCGAAAAAAAAGCCCTAAATCCTCCATCCCGAATCTTTTCGTAGGTGCTCGGAATCCCTACCTACACCCTTTCACCTCCCGCAAAAGCCCCTAAACAAGCAGCTCACGGGCTTTGGGGCTTACTTGTGTGTGTGTGTGTGTGATTTTCCTGGCACTCCTTCACAGTCCAGTTGCACACGGGTTTAAGCTCGATGTAAAATAGGGTTTTGGTTTTGGGGCTTAGGGAAGCCCAGGTGATCTTCAGCATCACCACCACCGTTGTCTTGTCCACGCCGCGTTTCAACTTCATTCACATTCATGGGGGTGTGGAGGCAGGCTCAAAATGAGAATCATGGCCCAACCCACCCGCAATTGGGCCTGGACTTCTTAGCTTGTGTACTATAGGGGTCGGAATAATTACTACTATCATTCCCTTGTGATCCTTATATGATTATACTATAAAAACTTCAAAACCACATTCTAATTACGAAGGCCCCTATCGTAGTAGGGGTGGGGTCAGGGTTAGGGTGGGATGACTTGAGGATGTTCCAGCTGCATCCAATTCTGCGCTTTTTTTCTGGCTTCTGTGACGACTTGGTAGCCCAGTGGTACCCGTTTCACTTTTTTCATGGTTCCCTTATGCAGTATCCACCGAAAAAAGGTTCCCTGATTATAACGGGCTACCAGGAAGAGCCATCCAACAGCAACAAAAGGGCACACTTGCAATGCGATGGTTACATGCCACAGGCTCCAATACCCTTTGATTGAAAAAATTCCGACATCACACTGAGAGCACTCTTCTAGTTGAACAAATGCCCCTAAACTCTACAGCCCAAATCCTAAGCCTCAACGCCCTAAACCCTACATCCAAACCCCGAAGCCTGAAGCCCTACACGCAACATCCTAAACCTCATTGGATTGGTATTGGAGTCACTGGAGAGGATCCAATGAACCCAATAAACCCAAGAAAGCCCAAACAACAGGGTTTAGGGTTTAGGGTTTCGGGTTTAGGGTTTAGGGTTTAGTTTAGGGACACCGAGCCGGTCCCCAGTCCCTACCTTAAACTCTACTTTCTGGAGTTCACTGTAGCGCAAAAGAGATTCGGAGACCCTCGAACCCTAATAGACCTTGAAGCTTGGAGTCCTCTTAGTACGGGATGTATGCGTAAGGGCTATGTTTGCCAATTCCGCTTTGCAAAGCCTGAACCCCGTGGCGCAGATGATGGGACCCTAAGCCCTAAACCCTAAACCCTAAACCCTAAACCCTAAACCCTGAACAGATAGTCTGCTCCGCCTTCTTTTGCTTCGAGTACGTGCTACGAGTCGCCGCCGCTCCGAACCTCTGGAAGTACGTGTGCTCTTGCCTGGGTGCCTGGGCGCAGATGATGGGACCCTAAACCCTAAACCCTAAACCCTAAACCCTAAACCCTAAACCCTAAAGTTTCGCCACCCGAAACCCTAAACCCTAAACCCTAAGGGTTTAAAGGGTTGAGGGCTTGTCAAGTCTGCAACTCTATCTCCCGCCAGTTTCCAAGGAATGGAATCTCTAAACCCGATATCCCTAAGCCCAAAGTATACCTGTAGCCCTTGGGGTTTAGGGTTTAGGGTATAGGGTTTAGGGCTATAACCCTAAACCCTAAGCCAGACTCTGAAGCGCAGCCGATTTCCCCAAGCCTACTTAGCCAACCGCTGAACTTGAAGCTTCAGGGTTTAGGGTTTAGGAGAGTTTAGGGTTTAGGTTTTAGGGTTTGGGGTTCAGGGTTTAGGGTTTAGGGGTTTTGTGCTTCTGGTAAGGGGAAGAAAATTCAAGCTTTCCTACCCGATAGCTACGAGCACGTGGTAAGTCTCATAAGAAGAACAACGGTAAACAGAAATAGTGGCCTTCAGGCCTTGAGGCCTGAATATGGCTGAGGTCTATAATCTGAACCACCGTAAACCCTAAACCCTAAACCCTAAACCCCAAACCCTAAACCCTACAGCAGCAGCGCCTTGCATATCCTGCGACTCTAATCTACCTAGAGTTTAGTTGGTATCCACGTTTCAATTAGTAGGTACCACCCAGAAAGCTGTAGGTAAAGAGAATCGCAGGTTGCGTAGCTCTAAAACGCTCCAAGCTCCGAACACGTGATGCTTCGCCTCGGGAGCCTACTACCCGTAACGGGGCCTTACGCGTTCTTCTCCAATCGTCAAGTTCATACTGCGATGATCGTTTGTATTACATCTAAGAGGCGCATGAGGTAAAACATTGATGAGGTGCCGCTTTGGCCTTCGGAACACGAGTAGGGGAGCTAGATATTTCCTTCGCTGAAACCCTAGTATTCTGTGATATTTTGCTGAAATCCATTTCTCAAACCTTTTTATTGGAAAGCTGTAGGGTTGTCGGGCGTAGACTGTAAGGACCAGGGATTTGGAAATTTATTGTCGCCAAAGCTCTTGGAAACATTGGCGAGAGTTGTTTGCGATTAGCTTGGGGCCCCGGGGGCTTGCCCGAAACCGGGAAAAAACATAGCTTTTTCTAGTTTTTTCTAGCTTTTTCTAGCTTTGGGGCCCCGGGGGCTTGCCCGAAAACCGGGAAAAACATAGCTTTTTCTAGCTTTTTCTAGTTTTTTCTGGCTTTTGCTAGCTTTTTCTAGCTTTTGCTAGCCTTGCCGAGCCTTCTCTAGCCTTTCGTAGCAGATCGGGGCCCGATTCCAGGAAGGATTTAGCGAGCCGGGGTCTGAAGACAGGAATGTCGTAGCAAGGTGGATGGCCAGCAAAAAAAGTCAAAGTCCACTTCTGATTGCCAGGAATCAGTATTGTATGAATGCGTAGATTTTAAGGCCGATGCCAGTAAGTAACGCCCAAACCTCAGGCGCCGACAGGTACAATTTCAGATTAGATTTGATTGAAAAAGCAAGCTGTAGTTTCCTGCCGGCATCTTCTGTACAGGCCCTTCAAAGGCATGCTTCACCCCAGGAAATTCGTAGCTTATCTTAGCTTATCTTAGCTTATATTAGCTTCTCCTAGCTTTGCCTAGCTTTCTCAGGTTTCCTTCAGTTTTCAGTGGAACGCATTGGAATTCTAGATTTTTCCGGTAATCCAAAGACGAGCCTGATCATTGTTTTACCTCATGTGTTCTTATGATTACAATCATTTTTATCAGTATTATTAACAAAAGCATGCTGTTGTTGTTTGCTATCAGGCGTTGGAAAGTTGCGCATACTTTGATACGTATTGTTGTGACATTTTTGCCTTGTTGCACTGTCCCATGAATAAGTCGTTGGTGCTTGAAAGTTGATTGCTACTCTAACTTGTAAGTCCCAATGTGACCTGCCAGCTTGGCTAGCCTGACCCTAAACCCTAAACCCTAAACCCTAGACCCCAAACCCGAAACCCTAAACCCTAAACCTAAACCCTAAACCCTAAACCCTTGACAAGACCAAACCGCCAGGCATTGTCGATCTGATCGTTGCGGCGGCCAGCCTGCCCACCCTGATCATAAGAACTGTGCCTGGGACTCTCTTTGCCTACTGCTTCATGGGTTATACCTCCCTAAACCCTAAACCTTATAAACCCTAAACCCTAAACCCCCCTAAACCCTAAACCCTAAACCCTAAACCTTCTACCTTCTAAACCCTAAACCCTAAACCCTAAACCGTAGGCAAAGAGAGTCCCAGGTGGAGCTCTTACGAGGGCGCGGTCACATTCCCTTCTTCTACCCCCTCCTGCCCCTTCGGATGCTGCGACTTCTCAAGTTGGTATACTACCTCCCGGAGAGCCGACACTTACTTAGGGTTTAGGGTTTAGGGTTTAGGGTTTAGGGTTTAGGGTTTAGGGTTTAGGGTTTAGGGTTTAGGGTGTAGGGTTTAGGGTTTAGGGTTTAGGGTTTAGGGTTTAGGGTTTAGGGTTTAGGGTTTAGGGTTTAGGGTTTAGGGTTTAGGGTTTAGGGTTTAGGGTTTAGGGTCAACTTGAAACTTTTGGGTTTCCTTATTTAGTAGGCATAAGAAAGTTTAACCTCTTTTTTTCCTGGTTATTGGAGAAGTAAGGACAGCTCTGCAATGCAATCAAGGGTGTGGCGAGGTTCAAGGGGCTAAAGGAGGGACCCTCATGAGGGGCCTCCTTATAGGGGGTTGTTTGGGGAGGGGATTATTTAGAGGCTACTTAGGCATGTAGGGTACCCCGAAACCCTAAACCCTAAACCCTAAACCCTAAACCCTAAACCCTAAACCCTAAACCCTAAACCCTAAACCCTAAACCCCCCTGAAGAGGTTCATCATGGTCTTCTTGCTCGGGGTTCTTGTGATCATCCTGATGTTGGGCAGTTGCCTTCACGTGGCTGAAAATGGCCGCGAGGGCTTTGAGTCAATTCCAGCAGGCATCTTTGTCCCAATTATAACCCGGGGCTTGTAAATGGGTTATAGCTACACTTATACTTGGGTTGATGACCTTTGTGGTGCTTCACTGTAACTTTAGATCCTTAGCCTTTTTTGGGTTTATTGAGTTTCCTTACTTAGTAGCCCTCCTAAGTGCAGCCAAGGCATGTGGTGGGCTGCGGTGACGATTACGACGGCGGCTTACTTCGATTTTAGTTGAACTTTAAACTTTTTGGGTTTCCTTTTTTAGTAGGAATATTAAAGTTTAACTTTTTTTGTGCCTAAACCCTAAACCCTAAACCCTAAACCCTAAACCGGCTGTTGGAGAAGTAAGGTGGGCTATGGGGATGCCGTGCCCCAGACCGTTCTAGGCAAGCTGTTTGCATCCCTCTCCATGCTGCTTCTTGGGAATTGTTTTTGGACCGGCTTTTCTAATGATGCCCAGTGCCCTTATTCCTTTTTTTTTTTTTGGGGGGGGGGGGGGGGGGGGGGGGGTTTAGGTTCCCTTCTAAACCTCTTTAAGCAAAAACAAATGCACCCTTTTTTAATTTCTATGTTACTGAGCAACTTCGTTTTTTAAGACGGCAAATAGCGAGGATCGCTACTGTTTCGATCTCCCAATGCTTCGTTGGAAATCCAGCCCCCACACGTCCCCAGAAATACCGGAAAAGAAGCCCCTCAACCCTAGACCCTAAACCCTAAACCCTAAACCCTAAACCCTCAATCTGCTCAGGATTGGCTACGGCATGCTCGCCATTCCCACCCTCCTTGGCACCTTTAATGTTCGGAACGAGGACCCAAAGCGCAAGGCCAAGACTGAAAAGCTGGACATGGAGGCTTCTGGCTTGAAGAGAAGGAGAGGAGGTTTAGGGTTTAGGGTTTAGGGTTTAGGGTTTAGGGTTTAGGGTTTAGGGTTTAGGGTTTAGGGTTTAGGGTTTAGGGTTTAGGGTCTGATGTTCATGTCGCAGTTTTGCTATTTCGGGTTGAAAGAAGTAGGACTAAAGAGCCTTGCAGTGCATCCAACACATATATGCATACATATATATGTATGTATAGATTTTTCTCTGTGATGTGAGCAAAGGCACGCGCCCCACTTCTCTGCAGAGAGCCCTAAACCCTAAACCCTAAACCCTAAACCCTAAACCCTAAACCCTAAACCCTAAACCCTAAACCCTAAACCCTAAACCCTAAACCCTAAACCCTAAACCCTAAACCCTAAACCCTAAACCCTAAACCCTAAGCCCTAAACCCTAAACCTTAAACCCTAAACAGAGGATGTCGACAGTTTTTTCGTGTGTCCTCCGGAGGACCACCTCTTTTGGACGCGACGCGCCTGAGGGTCTCGTGCCCGTGCAGATCCGCCCAGCCGACTGCGACCCCGCCGGATGCCTCAAGCATTCCGTGGGGTTCCTTTGTCATAGTTGGGGAACATTTTACATTTTTTTAGGGTACTTAAAACCCAATAAGGAATCTAAATTCAAACTTTTTAAATACTATCCCAACCATGAACTAGGTTTGCGCTGCTTGAGGAGGCCGTCGTGCAGTGGAGCCCGCCTGAGGCCAGATACTTGCACCCTGGCCCAGTGGTACCCTTTACCCTTTTTGTTTGGTTCTGGCTTCCCTTATAAAGTAGCCAACCCAAAAAAGGGTGCCCTTATTGTAATATGGTTACTGGCAGTTACTGGGCTACCGAGGCACTGGCCCGTGCACGATTATTGGTTCCATGTTCCTCGGTCGGGCCGCAACCCATCTGGGCGGAGCTTGTGGGCAGAGGTTGCATTGTCCGGCAATCTGCAGTCTGAGTCATCTCGTGAGTTTCGTGTCTCATTCTTCTCCGCCTCCCATGGAGATGGAGCGGAGCCTCCGGTAGCTCGTGGCAGCATCCGATATGGGCGAGCCAGTGCGTCGGAAAAGGATGGTTGACACAGTCAAGAGGTGATAGAAACTGCAGAGCCGGAGCCACAACGACCACCCGACCCTTACCTAAATGGTTTACCCCTGACTGTGCTTGGCAAAGGCCAGGCATCAGGATGTAGTATGGTAAGAAAAGTGGTGTGCCGAAGGGTGGTTACATGCATATATATATATGTGTGTATATATATATATATATTTCTAAGGGGTTTCTACGGGTTCCCCACTTCAAGGCCCATGCTACAGGCCTGTAACGCCCTAAGAATGTGGCCATAGAGCTTATTTTGACCAAGCATATGGGCTGTCACAGAGATGGCTGCAGCAGGAGATCTGTCGAGCTTCCACAGGGCTTCATACGATCCCTAGCCCAGGAGAATGAGGTTTAGGGTTTAGGGGGCCCATTCTCTTTCTTAGGATGGGTATTGAATTTGTATAAGGCAGTAGTTATATAGAGATCCTCAGGGTGCAGCAGTAGTAATTTCTTAGGCTCCTGTATTGTGTTTTAAAATCAAGGAAGTCTAAGGAAGTCAAACTTTGACCCCAAGGATGTACCCCTAAGAAGTCCCCTTACATTCCCTTAGAGGATATTTAAAAAGGGGTCCTCAAACCCAAGGCGGGTGCAACCTTAGGGGTCCAAGGTCGAGCCCCACTAGCTTCAAAAAAGTTTAGTTTTTTTTGGATCCGGTGCCCTTAAGCTTTTTAAGCACAAGGGCCTCAGAGAAACTCTGAGGCCCTCCACGGTTTAGGGTTTAGGGTCTAGGGTTTAGGGTTTAGGGTTTAGGGTTTAGGGACCTGAAGCCCCAAGCTTAAACTGGCCGCCAGCAGCCTCCAGCGCTTTGTGGGCTCTGCAGCTGCCCCAAAAGATGCCGGCGTCCAGGCTATCCCAACAACGTGGCCTCTCAACTTTCCGAACCCCCCGGCAGACTCTGCAAGCAGGAGCATGCAGGAGCTATGCTACCATGGAGCCGATGCTAAGCAGAGCTGCCTTTGCCAGTCTACGCCCCAAGATCCTCGAACTTAAACTCCAGTGACCTCTAAAGTCACTAGTTACAGCCCCGAACCCCCACCCGTTTCAAAACCATAAATACAAGGCGCCATAAGCTCCTACTAAGGCCCCCCATCCCAAAGCCCACAAGCCCCAACACCACCTCACTGAACCTCCGAACTTGGAGCTTCGCCGCATGTCGTCCCCCGCGAGCTACGCCTTTCAGTCGGCTGCCAGCCGTGTCCTTTCTGTATTTACAAAGACTCACTCCGACGCCCGGCTGGATTGGGGTTTAGGGCGTCGGGCTCCCCAAGAGTTTCGGAACCCTAAGCCCTATAAACCCTAAACCCCAAACCCTAAGGAGAATTCAGGATTGAGTTCGGCTCTCTTGGCTTAGGGTTCAGGGTGTAAGGGCTGACCGGGGGCCCAAAGAAATGGACCGACTGACCAAATGGTTCGCGTGCAAATGGAGGGGGTGTCTTCCTCGAGTTCGGAAGCCTTTAACAAGCCTTAGTACGGACATCTGGGCCCGTACATCTGCAGGGGTTGCGGGATGTTAACCGGTTAGTCATCCCCATGTCTTTACCCGACGCCCTACCTGAAGAACGCCTGCATGTTTGTAGGCTATTGGGTTTAGGTTTAGGGTTTAGGGTTCAGGGTTTCGGCTTTAGGGTTTGCAACTTACAAACAAGTTGGTTGTGGGTTCTCAAGGTATGCCCTATACCTTATGACATGCCTTTTGATATTGGCCCGCGAGCCACTTGCATACTTTCGTGTGCAGCATTTTAAATACAGGAGCCTGAGCAACTACCCAGACTACCTCCCGAACTCCTCTATGGCTTGAGCTTCACGCGGTCTAAACTCTAAACCCTAAACCCTAAACCCTAAACCCTAAACCCTAAACCCTAAACCCCAAACCCCAACCCTAAACCCCAAACCCTAAACCCTAAACCCTAAACCCTGAGGAGGCTGAACGGAGTCTACAGTCCAAGAATGATAGGCACCATCCTCCTGAGCCCCAGCCTCCCAAAAATAGCCTTTGGAATTGGAGAAACTCAGCTGTCCCTACATCACCTAGACCAACTGCACCCTCACAGCCCACGCCTCGAAACCCTAAACCCTAAACCCTAAACCCTAAACCCTAAACCCTAAACCCGAAACACAAACACGTAAACCTTTACTGTAAAGCCGAAACCCGTGGCAAACACAACTAAAGAAAACAGCCGTCAGCTTGGCGCACCTAAATTCCGCAAACCCTAAGCCCCGAATCCCCATACCCCCTATAAACCTGCAAACCCTAGAAACCCTGAAGCCCCAAACCCTCCAAACCCTAAACCCATAAACCTATAAACCCTAGAAACCCTAACGCCCTAAACCCTAAACCCTATAAACCCTAAAACCCTAAAACCCTAGAACCCTAGACCCTCCAAACCCTCAGCCCCTTTAGAGGAGATCTGTGTGGCGAGGCTAGCCATCGACCAGTCGACAGTTTAACACATGAGCCCATCACATCAACCTGTAACTCAGAGAACCCCGCTACACCCTTGGGTTTTAGGGTTTCCAGGTTTTAGGGTTTCCGGTTTTAGGGATTTAGGTTTTAGGGTTTTAGGGTTTTGGGGTTGCGGGGTTGTAGGGTTTTTTTGGATTTAGGGTTTCGGGAAAGTGTGGGTCTTCGGGTTTAGGGCACCCCAACGCAGAGCCCCCATGGTGCCCGATGCCCTCGAGCTAAGGAGTATCATCATGTAGCACATTGGATCGTAGGCCTTGCAGGGCTTGTCAGATTCACTTTCAGAGTTGGGTTTAGGGTTTAGGGTTTAGGGTTTGGGGTTTAGGGTTTAGGGTTTAGGGATTCATAGAGCAGATGAGTGGCTCAGGTTCGCGATCGCTATGCGCCCTGAATGGAAGATGGGGGGGGGGGGGGGGGGGGGGGGTTCAAATCTGACTTGATGTTATCCCTATGCCGAAGCCTTAAACCCGACGGGCTGCAAGCTGCCAGGGATTTCCCCCAAAAATGTTTCTTGGTGGCAGGTCCACGGCTGCTCCTAGTCTCAGTTGTGGGGTTTCTTCGGTGTGTTTTATGCAGGAAGAGTGGTCATCAGGCCATGGGGTGTTCAGGAGACCACCTTAAACCCTACAAGGCTAAACTCTAAACGGTTTAGGGTTTAGAGTTTAGGGCTTAGGGTTTCGGGTTTAGCGTTCAGAGGTTCTCACCGAGGTGAGCTTGGCTTCACCTGATGATCTCCATCACAATGAAAATTCCCGAGAATTCCACTACCGACGCTTTTGGCTGACACTGAACTTGCTGTCCATCTTCATCGCTACCTGTCTGCACTACTATCTGCCAAAGTTTCCCTACAAAAAATAGCAGTCTGCTTCTTTATTCTTTGTTTTCGGGTGGTTCTTAAGCAAGTAGCAGTGCAGTTCTGCGTTTTGCGCATTAGGGTGTTAATGCCAGGTACCCATGAAAACGGCTGGAAGCCCTGTGATGGAAAAGCGATGACAACGGGCAATTAATGTGGGGAGTCCATGTGGCGTTTTGGGTTGACCCGCGTGTGCCTTTGGCAACTTGAATGTCCTGTAGCAAGACAAGATGTTGCCTGTAGTTGTGCTGTAGGTCTGCATGTTTGGCTCATGCTCCAGCATGCCCTTCCCTATTGCCCCATACTGCACGCCCTAGAGCCCAAATAAACCCTAAACCCTAAACCCTAAACCCTAAACCCTAAACCCTAAACCCTAAACCCTAAACCCTAAACCCTAAACCCTAAACCCTGAACCCTGAACCCTGAACCCTAAACCCTAAACCCTAAACCCTAAACCCTAAACCCTAAACCCTAAACCCTAAACCCAACTCAGAATGGCAGCTGGTCAGGTCCCAGACCTAGCCGCAACACCAGCTTACTTTTTCAGTGCCCTGAACCACGGCACGGAACCCTGCACCCGAAGCCTCTAATGCCGTGATGTGAGGCTGGGTATATATACCCAAGACCCGAAACCCAAGGCTGTAAGGACTATCTTTAGGGTTTGGGATTTAGGGTTTAGGGTTTAGGGTGTTGGGCCTCAAGGCCTTCTTTTTTTAAATAAGGTTTTGTCGGCCATTTTGAGCCCAAAACTCCGAAGAGTTTTTTTGGAGGTCGTGCTCAGCGTGGTTCTCACGGTGGTCATGTCGCTACCTGAGGCTGGTTTCGGGGCTCCGGCGCGTTTGAGGGACCTCACCGTAAAGGGTTTAGTGTTTGAGGTTTAGGGTTTGGGGTTTAGGGGTTTCCGGTTTAGGGTTTAGGGTTTAGGGTTAACCGGTTAACCCCCTCCCTACTCCCGAAAACTGCATACAGAAGCCCCAAGCCAAGGCTACGTCCGACCTATGGGTAGACCTAGTGACTGTAGGTGCATGGGTCGCAGGCCTACGGGTAGCCTGTGGTTTTGGGCTTCCTTACCTCATACTCGAGCATGTCATATTTGGCGGAGTAGACCGACTTATAGGGGCCTGTTCGGGCCTAAGGCTCCCTGCGCCAAGAAGGTAGGATACGCCTTAAACCCAAACCCCTGAACCTAAACCCTAAACCCTAGCCCTAAACCCCTGAACCTTGTGTCGGGGGTGGTGCCGTGGTTGAATGGTTGATTGAAGGCTGTTTAAGGAGGCCTGAGACAGAATCCTTGCCTGCCTCAGTGAGTGCGAGAGTCGAAACCCTAAACCCCTAAACCCCTCAACCCCTAAACCCCTAAACCCCTAAACCCCTAAACCCCTAAACCCCCTAGACCCTAAACCCCCTAAACCCTAAACCCCTAAACCCTAAACCCAGAGAACCCTTCCAGTATCCGACTCCAGGGCCTCCGTTCTTAGTCTGCACCACCCCCACTGCACTGTAGGGCAGTCGTGGTCTTTGTTCGCAGCCGGTGTAGCCCTAAACCCTAAACCCTGAACCCCAAACCCCAAACCCTAAACCCCAAACCCCAAACCGTGCAGGTGCAGGTAGGGTTTGGGATTTCGGGGTGCTGTTTTTCCTGGCCAGGCCTCAGACCAGTGGCAAAAAAAGGGGTGCTCTTTGTAGTCTGACTTGCCTTCAGGTCCAGTGGCAAAAAGGGAATAACGGTTTGGGGTTTAGGGTTTGGGGTTTGGGGTTTGGCGTTTAGGGTTTAGGGTTTAGGGCTACACCGGCTACGGTTTCGGGTTGATAGGGTTCTGGGTGAAGGGTTTATGGGGTTTATGGGGTGCGGGGGTGCCGGAATTGCATCGTGAGGTTCGACACCCTAAACCCTAAACCCTAAACCCTAAACCCTAAACTCGTGAGGTTCGAGCCAGCGAAAGCTACACGCAAATTTACGACGTGGTGGAGATGCTCTGCGCGGCTTTTTTTGTCGTGGAGCCTCGGGATCCACTTCCCCAAGATTGCCTTCCGAAAGCTTCAGACACGAATTTCGTGGGCGGGTTTAGGGTTGAGGGGTGTAGGGTTTAGGGTTTAGGGTTTAGGGTTTAGGGTTTAGGGTTTAGGGTTTAGGGTTTAGGGTTTAGGGTTTAGGGTTTAGGGTTTAGGGTCCATTACGGCTTAAGCAGTCACCACGAAAAGGGTCTAGGTATGGCTGGGGCTTGGGCTCCATGGCCAAGGCATGCAAAGCAAGAAGCTCAGACGACCAAAGCCCGTGGTCTTCAAAAATACTCCAGACCCCCTAGGGTTTAGGGTTTAGGGTTTAGGGTTTAGGGTTTAGGGTTTAGGGTTTAGGGTTTAGGGTACCTGACCGTACACCCTAGACCTGGGAGCCTCAATCTCAACTGCGATGCATTTTGGGCTCATGGAGCATTGGCTAGACAGGTGGCTGAACACAAAGGTGTAGGCTAACCCTCCGCTCCCTTCCTTCGCCACCAAGGAGTATCTCTTGCGCCTTTGCGGCTCTGGCATGAGGCCATGTCTTCTCTGCAAGGAGTTTAAGACCTAGGGCTTGACGGCTTTGGGTTTAGGGCTCAGGACTTAGGATTTTGGGGGGCTTTTGTTTTCTTAGGGTCAAGTTCGCCTTCTTGTGGCTTGAGCCATTCCACACTGACCGTCGCACTGGGGACCAGAGGGGGCTTTGTACTAACAGTCCTTAATAGGGATTATGGTACCCGTAATGCCTATTAAGGACTGCTCGTAGAAGGGGGAACATCCCAAGAAGGTTGGCACCGGCTCCGTTGCTGGAAGGATGGAGGATGAAGGGGTGTCTCAGCCCCGGGGCTGAAGGAGGGACCCTTATAAGGGACCTTAGGGGGTCATTTGGGGGAGGTTTAGGGTTTAGGGTTCAGGGTTCAGGGTTTAGGGTTTAGGGTTTAGGGTTTAGGGTTTAGGGTTAGGCGATTATTTGGCTCTTGGCACCCTGGAGAAGTTCCAAGGGTTCAATTAGGGTTTAGGGCGCCAAATACCCTGGCAGCCCAAAGCCTACAGACTGAACCCTGTCAACCCTACTTGAGCCCGAAACCCTAATTTCATGTCCAGGGTTTAGGGTTCAGGGTTCAGGGTTTCGGGTTTAGGGTTTAGGGTTTAGGGTTTAGGGACTCCAAGCCTGAACCCTGCCTCGAACCAGGCGACTCTCCTATGCATGTTCGGGCCTCGGCTTAGTCGACCTCGTCGTCGCATTGTCCTCCATGGCGGCCATCGTCACACGCTACCGACGCCTGGCTCTTTCGAGGTCTTTGGGTTTTCTGGGGAAAGGAGGGACCCTTATAAGGGACCTTAGAGGTTAGTTGAGGGGTTACTTTTGGGGTTACCTAGGTATATAGGGGCTGTATACGGTTTATATAGGGGTTATATACGGGAAGAAGATGAAGGGTCCCTTCCAGGGGTCCCTCCTTTACCCCTTAAGGGTTAGTTTCAGGGCTTCATAAACGCAAGCCCTATACACCCCGAAACCCTGCTGAAATCCCTGAGCAGCTTTTTGGTAGGTTTCGAGCTTGTTGGCATCCGAGACGTTGCTTTCTTGCCCCCAAGAGGGCAACGGTGGCACGTCTTTCCTCTTCTCACATGCTCTTGAAAGCAGCCCCTGCCAAGTTCACGCAGGTTGAGTCAAACCGCTTGATCAGCCTTAAGCCCCTAAACCCTAAACCCTAAACCCTAAACCCTAAACCCTAAACCCTAAGCCCTAAGCCCTAAACCCTAAACCCAAAGTGGCACAGGAGACCTGGTTCAAGGAGGTCATGGTGGTAACCTCTGCCAGCCGTTGGTGTGTTTGCGCATGCCTCTGGGATTCCCAAGGGCCTATTCTTGTCCAGGCAGGTTTAGGGTTTAGGGTTGAGGGTTTAAAGGGTTCAGGGTTTAGGGTTTGCTGTAATGTGGCGTAGATGCTGTCAAGGTTGGGAAGGGCCTCGAAAGCTTCGGCCCGATTGTGGAGGGCCATCTAACACTTTTCTCCCACCCCACGCCGTCCAAGGCGGCAACGCCGCCCTAGCCTATTCCTTTAGGGTTTAGACCTGAACACAAGTCAAAAAACACTGCTTCTGTCTTGTCGCCAGATTTCAAGGAGGTCCAGAAAGACAATGGGTGGCAGGTCCTTGTACCCTGGGACTCCAATACCGAATATACCTTAGACATGGATTAAGGAATATACCTTAGATGTCAATAGGGTTCCTTATATGGTTTAAGGAATATTCTTAATCAAGGGGTATTGGAGCCTCCGTGCACTAGAGGAGTTTCAGGTTCTTAAGCAGGTGTCATGTACCCCCTAAACCCTAATACCCTAAACCCTAAACCCTACTAAACCCTAGCCCCTGAATAACCCAAGGCTACGGCTTCTCAAGCTGATGCACTACATCCAGGAGTGCCGGCAACTGTCCCATGCCTTGAGCACGGACTTCCGCTTCATCACGGTCTTCCTCTTCGGAATCCTGGCACCTTCTTTGGGGCATTTGGGAACATTTTTAGGGTTTAGGGTTTAGCGTTTAGGGGTTAGGGTTTAGGGTTTAGGGTTTAGGGCTGCAATTCCCAAGAAACAGCTAAAATCATAATGTTTGCTATTCCAAGTTCAGTATAGCCTTGGGCAATACAAGAACCCTACGTTTTTTGGGGTTATATACCCTATGCTACTCGAATCCATACACAGCCTTGCACCCTTGTGGGGCTCGTGTAGTTCCCCAGGTCATCGTGCTGATGCTGGGAACCTGCCTGTACGCAGCGGAGAATGGTGACAATGGTTTCGAGTCGATCCCGCATGGGATGCTTAGTAGTACAGGAGGTATCCTTTAGCCTTTTGGGGTATTCTCTTCCTTATAGAATCCCAAAAGGTTAACCTCTACTTCCCCCAGGTTACAGGACAACTAAGGATGTGGTGGGCCACTGTCACTTTGACCACTGTGGGCTACGGAGATCTGGTGCCCCAAACTTGTTGGGGAAAGTTCTTTGCCGAGCCTTGGCCAGAGTGTCTGGAGGCCGCGTCTTCATTTATTTACGCAGGTCCAACCTAAACCTTAAGCCCTTAAGCAAGCCACTTAAGCCCTTCTACCCAACCCCACACCCCCCCAACCATCAAAGCCCCAAGACCCCATATGAATCCGATTCCCCCTAAACCCTAAACCCGAAACCCTAATCCCCACAAGCCGTACATCAAGCCCCAGGCCTCCATCGAAGCCAACAGCGAACCCCTCATAGCCCTTTTAAACCTCGCGCAGAAGCCCTGTTTGTGTTGGCCCTGCAGGGTCGATAGACCCTAGACCCTAGACCCTAAGCCCTGAACCGTAGAAACCCGCACCATACTCGTTATAGCTCAGAGCGGTACGGCTTCAGTGACAACGTTTAGGGTCCCGCGCTAGGGCCGTGTTGCTTTTCTTGACTCTGTGTGACTTCCGGGCTCAGGGTCTAATCAGGGTGGGCTATGGTTGATGTTCAGCCTGACCAGGACACTAATTAGGTCTTACACCACCATGCCAAGCTTACCGGTTTTGAGCAGGTACCCCCTAAACCTAACCCGAACCTCTCAACCATAAACCCTAAGCCCTAAACCCTAAACCCTAACCTCCTCACATCTCAAGCCAAGGCATGCTCCATGTTGATTGGCTATGGCCTGCTGGCCGTCCCTACACTGCTTGGCACTGTTCAAGCGACGAAGTCCACGTTTAACGAGCCGCCGCTAGCCCTGCGCAGCCCCACCAGGCAAGGGACAGGGTTTAGGGTTTTGGGTTTTGGGTTTTGGGTTTAGGGTTCAGGGTTCAGGGTTTAGGGTTTCGGGTTTCGGGCTCAGGGTGTAGCGCGGGCTCAAAAAAGGTTTTGGGTTTTGGGTTTTGGGTTTAGGTTTCAGGCCCAGGGTTTTCGGGTCTAGGGAAAGGAGTACGGGCTCAAAAGGCTGGAGTCTCGTGAAGCCCCTGAGAGTCAGGATGCACCCAGAGCCAGCGCTCAACACAAGGCTCCAAAGCCCTAAGCCCTCGCTGGCCTTGCCCAACACCTAAATGAGTTTAGGGCTGTAAGGGCTATAAGGGTTAAAGGATTAATGATAAGGGTTATAAAGTTCATAAGGGTTGTAAGGGTGATAAGGGTGATACGGGTTCAGGGTCATAGTCCACAATTAAGAGGCCAAAGCAGAGTTCGAGCTTTCGGAAGCCTTAAGCCCCGAATCCTCAATCCTGAAAACTCCTCTTAGGGTTTAGGGTTGATAGAAATTGGAAAGGGTTCATGTCCGGACTGGGCGAAGGTCTTGGGCGGGTTTGGGGCGAAAGCTTCGTTTTTGTTGTTCGGTGGGGCAGAGGTGCTTTGGATGAATTTACTTAAGCTCGGCTTGTCAGCTGTTTAGGCAAAACCTGGGAAATTCAGAATGATGTGGCATACAGTTGCTGTTTAATTTGTCTTGAGGGTTTGGGGTTCAGGGTTTAGGGTCCCTAGTTGCCCCAGGACCGCCATCGATCTGGACGCATCGAACAACGTGGAGTATTTTTCGCTGCAGCCGCGGGCCAACGATGTGGACCCTAGACGGGCCAGATGTGATGGAGCTCCTAGCGTCTCGAGGGGTTTGGGGTTTAGGGCCTTTTGAGGGTTTAGGGCTTAGGCAGTCGTTCACAGTCCAGTTGCAAAAGGGACAAGGGTTTTGGCCTGAATAACCCCTAAACCCTACATCCGAAAAGTTATCTGGTGACCCAATCCCAGCCAGGACCGGTGGCGGTGTCTCAAGCCATCTTCTGGCCAAAGCCTGCTGGATGCTCGGGTGCTAATGGCCGTGACGCTGTTAAGGAGCTTGATATAAATTTGTGGTTTGCAGGGGTGGGAAGTTTGTTTTTGCACTTTTTTTTTGGGAGGGAAGGAGGGGGGGGGGGGGGGGGGGGTCTTCGAGGTTGCGTCTTGTTGAGGCTTTTGGACAGCTGTTCTCGCAAAAGAAGCCGTTGCCGCTACTTGCCGTCCGTAATAAGTTACCGTAAGTTACATTCCTCAACAGCACCACCAAATGAACCCTTCACTTGGGACCATGTACCCTATACTGCCATAACCCCTATTATGGAAGTGAACCAGAAACCCTTTTAGGTTTCATTTGGTCCTTGGTAGATGCGGTAGATCATGGTGCTGGGCCTCTGTCCCAGCATATTCCTTGCAGCTGAGCGTACCCCCTCCAAGCATAGAGAGCCCCTCTGCTATGCCTTAAATTCTTAATACCCCTGAAACCCAAACCCCAAACCCTAAACCCTAACCCTAGACCCTAAACCCTAAACCCTAAACCCTAAACCCTAAACCCCTCGTCAAGGATGAGGTGGTGCACCAGTGGAGCCGCCGCGAGGATGTCAGCCTGTCTCGCTGGCACGCGTATCACTACTCCTTCACCTTGTCCCTCCCTCTACAGCAGCTGCATCTTGTCTTACAGTTTAGGGTTTCGGGTTTAGGGTTTAGGGTTTAGGGTTTAAGGTCTAGGGTTTAGGGTTTAGGGTCTAAGGTTGGTAAGTATGGGCCATTGGGGTGTTGGGAGTATTTGTTTTTTTGGTTGGCTGGGTCTTGGGTCCCTCTACAGCAGTTTCACCTTGGGGGCTGGGAGTTGTCTGGGATTGTCTGTTTTTGGCTGGTTGGGTTTTTTGGACGTTAAACCCTAAACCTAAACCCTAAACCCTAAGGCTTAGCAGGTAATGTGCCGGAGTTTGTCGGTTCCGGGTCAACAGTTGGTCGGAGGCTCACGAAGCACCTGGAGCACGCACACGCACGTCACCAGAGAGCCCAAGGCCCTTTAGTATTAGGGCGTATATACCTGAAATCGTACCCGGATCGCTGGAACATCAAGGGATCGGTCTTGTTGGGGTCCCGAACCCTGAAGTCGAAACCCTAAAACCCTAAAACCCTAAAACCCTAAAACCCTAAAACCCTAAAACCCTAAAACCCTAAAACCCTAAACCCTAAACCCTCAACTATACTCCCCTACGTCTGCAGATCCGAGGTGTGAGGACAGCGACCTGTATGTGCAGGTCCAGGCGTGTCCCAACAGCGACTCCTCGTCTGACTTCCAGGTGATCTTTCACTGTGGCCAGTGTTGCCTGGGCACTGTTTAGGGTCTCGGGTTTCGGGCTTGCTGTGATATTGCGAGGGATGCGAACTAGCTTCGAAAGCTTCGTGAGATGCGAAGAGCAGCCATGGCTTGATTGTGGAGGGCCTTCCACACTTTCGTCCCACCCCACGCCGTCTCAGGCGGCTATACCTTGAGTTTGTGGAAGTGTTTTTTTCAGTGGACCATTGTTCCCTTGATGGGGGTCTTTCGGTTCCTTATTGGGGATCCGCTTGGGCAACCCAAGCCAAGGGTTTAAGACTGTGAGAAGGGGCAAGAATGCCTTTTGGATTCATAGGGGTTCGGGTCACGGTGGGAAGTGCCCCTTGGGCAGCATAGAGATAAACCCTAAACCCTAAACCCTAAACCCTGAACCCTGAACCCTGAACCCTGAACCCTGCACCCTGAACCCTGAACCCCTAAACCCTAAACCCTAAACCCTAAACCCTAAACCAAGGGTACTTTGACTTCTGTGATGAAGTCTATGCTGTGGTGATGTCCGGGGTTTCCTGGCCAGGGAACAGGGCAACCAAGATGAGTAGCGACCTTGAGCTGGGCCGTATGCCCGATGTGTAGGAAGGCACCCTACAACCCTAAACCTCAAACCCTAAACCCTAAACCCTCAACCCTAAACCCTAAACCCTAAACCCTAAACCCTAAACCCTAAACCCTAAACCCTAAACCCTACACCCAACCGCAACGCCAAGGCTACAGTCCAGACACGCTCGACCGAGCTCTGGCAGAGGGTCATGTACGATACTTCCTCACGGATGCCAGTTCTGACTGAGGCAGACTTGGTAGCCCAGTGGGTTTAGGGTTTAGGGCTTAGGGTTTAGGGTTTAGGGTTTAGGGTTATGGTTTCCCTTATGAAAATAGCCAACCCAACATAGGGTGCCCTTCTTGGTGGCCCAGTGGTACCCTTTACCCTTTTTGTTTAGGGGTTTTGAGGGTTTAGGGTTTAGGGTTTAGGGTTTCCCGAATAAAATGGCCAACCCAAAAAAGGGTGCCCTGATCATAACATGGTTACTGGGCTACCAGGCAGAGAGAGAAAAACAGAGGGTCTTGGGTCTTGGGTTGCTCTCTCACTCTGCGGGAAGGCCTTAGGGTGCTGTGGGGGGGGGGGGGGGGGTGAAGGGCTTCGGAGGTTGCACTTGTGAGCAAGGGTTTTAGGGTTTAGGGTTATGTCTCTGCGCAGTGTTGCGAGACAGATTCACTTCGAATGGACGTCGCAATGTCGGAATTCAGGCTCCGATATGCCAAGAAGGGGAACCCTCAACTCTAGATCCCTAGGCCCTAGGCCTTTTGAACGCATTCTGAGGCGTGTGACATTTCGAACCCTGAAGCCCTAGACCCTATGCGCTGGAGAAAGGGCTTAGAGCCACAAGCCCTCTCACACGAACCCTAATGCCCCGAATTGCAAGGGTTCATGGCGGGAGATGTGGGGTTTAGGGTTTAGGGTTTAGGGTTTAGGGTTTAGGGTTTAGGGTTTAGGGCTAGGGTTTAGGGTTTAGGGTTTAGGGTTTAGGGTCTTTCTGCAGGTCCAGAACGCCTGTGAGTTGTCGAGGGGTGTATGCAACTGCAAACACGACAGAGGCCCCATAAACTACGCACCCTGGCCCACTTAGAGAAATGGGCACGCGGGTCTCACTTGCTACTGTTGCTTAAGAACCCCCCCCCCAAAAAAAAAGCAAGTATAAAAAAAAAAAACATGCAAGAAACAATGATCCCTGTATTGCCCTTATCAGGAAGATTTTGTTTTTTTTTTTTTTTTTTTTTTGGGGGGGGGGGGGGTTCTGAAGCAATGGGTAGTTTACGGGCTTTCATGAAGTGGGCCTTGGAAGATGTGGGAAACCAACGAACCCCTGTGTTGTTCCTCCCATCCACCCAGTTGCCAGCTATAGGCTCAAAGCGCAGCCTAAGCTTCTAGCTTCTATCAGACAGCTGGCGCATGTCGGCATGAGCAAGGTGGGTTTTATCGAATCTGCGTCCTCTGACACAGACGATGCAGAGGACGAAGGAGGATCCTGCCTGCAGCGTCTGCCATGCGCAGTCATACTGGCGATGGTGATCCTTAGTTGCTGAGTGGGCATCAAATAAGCTTGCGTCGGTATCTTCAGCCCCATTAAGACCAGAGCTTCACCTTCTTCTTCAGCACCCTTATGCCATTGGAACCCTGCATGAAATTACCCTAAACCCTAAGCCCTAAACCCTAAGCCCTGAACCCTGAACCCTAAACCCTAAACCTTTGAGGATCATCATCATTATCGCCGTGGGCTTCTTTGGCTGCATCGATCTTTCCCATCGCCTGGCGAAGTCGGGTGAGAGGTCTGAAAACTTGGCGGAATTCACTGGAGAGGCTCTACATGCCACCTGCTGGTACTTTGAGATAGTCTTTACTGCCCCCCTTAGGGTTTAGGGTTTAGGGTTTAGGGTTTAGGGTTTAGGGTTTAGGGTTTAGGGTTTAGGGTTTAGGGTCTGTACTGCCCCCCCCCCCCCCCCCTCCCCTCCCTCTGAATAAGGGAACGGGATTTTTCTAGGACCCGGAGCAGGGACTGATTCCCGTTTCTTTGGGTTTGGGTTCTTTTCCAAGCCCCTTTCAAGACAAAGGGTAGGCCCACTGGGTAGGCACCCTTTTTAGTCCTAGGTTACCCTTGGGTCTGGTTCAGACAAGCCCTACACCCTAAGCCCTATGCCCTATGCCCTATACCCTACCCCCTATACCCTACAAACTCTGAGCCCTAAACTCAAGTTGAGTTGTCAAAGGGGGCTTTAACCCTACACCCTAAACCTCAAACCCTAAACAATAAACCCTAAACCCTAAACCTCCCTAATCTCAACTTTAATGACCTTCGTGGTTTAAGGCCCATAATTCGTGGTTAAGGCCAGTCGTTCCCTTCGGCCTTAAACCATGAATTATGGGCCTTAAACCACGAAACGGGTTTGGTTATTGTTCGTGGTTTAAGGCCCATAATTCGTGGTTTAAGGCCAGTCGTTCCCTTCGGCCTTAAACCACGACTTATCGGCCTTAAACCACGAAATGGGTTTGGTTATTGTTCGTGGTTTAAGGCCCACAATTCGTGGTTTAAGGCCCATAATTCGTGGTTTAAGGTCAGTCGTTCCCTGCGGCCTTAAACCGCGAATTGTGGGCCTTAAGCCACGAATTATGGGCCTTAAACCACGTAATGGGTCTGGTTGTTGTTCGTGGCTTAAGGCCCATAATTCGTGGTTTAAGGCCAATAATTCGTGGCCTAACGCCCATAATTCGTGAGTTAATAGTTCGTGGTTCAAGGCCCATAATTCGTGGTTTAAGGTCCCATAATTCGTGGCTTAAGGCCCACAATTGGTGGTTTAAGGCCCATAATTCGTGGTTCAAGGCCCATAATTCGTGGCTTAAGGCCCATATTCGCGGTTTAAGGCCAATAATTCGTGGTTTAAGGCCTGGGGTTTAGGGCCTGGGGAGGCTAACGCAGGTGTTTTTGTTGTGCCCGTTCGTTTCAAGCATAGGCCTTTGAAGCTGAGATGATTGGAGAATACTTGTATTTTGATTTTCTCAATGTTATGGGAGTCTCTGGGTGGGTGGGTGTTAAATCAGAGCCGTAAGTAGAACTTCACCATCACACTGCTCGATCCGGAGTTGCTGAACCCTAAACCCTAAACCCGAAACCCTAAACCCTAAACCCTAAACCCTGAACCCTGAACCCTGAACCCTAAACCCTAAACCCAAACTGAGGCGCTGAAGCATGAGCTCAAGTCGTCAGCGGGTGATCTCAAGGTGAAGCTGCCCGAGAGGGTCGACTCCATGATTGACAGCATCTTCCCTTAGCCGGTTTAGGGTTTAGGGTTTAGGGTTTAGGGTTTTTGGGTTTGGGGTTTACGGTTGAGGCAACACTTGAACTTTGACATTTCTTGGGTTTCCTTATGTATGTGGTAGGACTATTCAGGCTTAACTGTTTCTTTATTCCTTGTTTTTTTTTTTTTTTTGGGGGGGGGGGGGGGGGGGGAGGGGGGTTACGTAAGGCATCGAGGTGGCGGAAGAGAAGGCCAAGAGCCTGGTCCAAACATTCCAGGCAGGAGGGTTCCAGGACTCCGCGGTGCAGACGGTCTCTCAGGCGATCTACGGGAAGCGCGGTTGCTGTTGAGGATGTTTTGAATTCGTTGATGAACTTCAGGCTTTTTGGTTTTTTCCTTAAAGGAAGAGTAGAGTTTATCCTTTTTTAAGATTCCTTGGCTATTGGAGAAGTAAGATTCAGTCGCCATAGCTCCCAACAGCACATACTGCTGGACTTCCGTCTCTACAGCGAAGGGGCCCCATCAAAAGTTTAACTGGCGGAGAATAGTTTTAAACAATCTTACACGTTCTCCTTCGTAAGGTAGCTTACCCTAAACCCTAAACCTAAACCCGAAAACTCAGTTGAGGAAGCTGATGCTGATGCTCTATGTGGCCTCACGGCGAGTGAAGGCTGCTGCAGCAAGCGCCTTGCCTTCGGCTTGGGATTGCTACCTGGAGCCATGGCCTACCATGCCGTGGGGCCCTAAACCCGAAACCCTAAACCCCAAACCCTAAACCCTAAACCCTAAACCCTAGACCCTAAACCCTAAACCCTAAACCCGCATTGTCATGGATGCGTCGCGTTCTTCTCTTCCTGCGGCTGCCGTCCTATGTTTCCTCGTCCAGAACTGACTGTTGGTGGCTAGTGTTTTAGGGTTTAGGGTTTAGGGTTTTGGGTTTAGTGGTGAGGTCACCTGCTGCGAAAAGGGTTTAATTCGGGTTTAGGGGGTGAAAACTTGTTGCGCTCCGCAGCTCCAGGATTGCATTAGGCAGCGAATGGAGCCAGAAATCCCAGTGTGAGTTACAGAATCTTATCATGGGACTCCTACCTTGGACCCCTAAGATTGTACCCTTGGATTGGGGGGCCATTTTTAAAGATCCACTAAGAGAATATAAGGGCCATATTAGGAGTACGCTCAGGAAAGCTCTCAGGGGTACCCCCGTACAACCTCATTAAGCCCCAGAAACCCTAGACCGCAAGGAGCCTTCTTTCCTCGTCATGCATCACAAGAAGCTTGCCCCCGAGCACTTTAAACCCTAAACCCTAAACAGCAAACCCCAAACCATAAACCCTAAACCCTAAACCCTCCGAAGCCCTCAGCCCGGAAAGCCCTCAATACCATGAACCCGAAAATTCCGAACCTTAAAGCTTGGGATGTCCCCCTTATACTAACAGTACTTTAGACGGATTTCAACAGGAGGTACTCAAATTCACTATTCAGGACTGTTAGTATAAGGGGGAACATCCCAACCCTAAACCCTGAACCCTACACCCTCGACCCTAGACCCCAGACCCTAAACCCTAAACCCTCAACCCTAGCTTAGAACTCTGAAGCTCCCAGGTGTTCAATCCATGCCTTGGCCAGCCATCTCGACCTACATGACCTCCATCAATGGCGCCTTGGGACGCCTGCAGGGCATGGCCGAGCTCCTGGGGCGGTACATGGGGTTTAGGGTTTAGGGTTTAGGGTTTAGGGTGTAGGGTGTAGGGTGTAGGGTGTAGTGGCTTTTCAACCCTTCAAACCGCTGCCCAAGCAAGGCTCCTTGTGCCCCACCTGCCAGCCAATGCGCAGAAGGTGCATCAAGCACCGGGGGCGAGGGGAGGGGGGTGTAATTTAGGAGCCCTAAACTCCCTAAACCCTGAACCCTAAACCCTAAACCCTGAACCCTGAACTCTACACCCTAAACCCTAAACCGTAAACCCTAAACCCTAAACCCCAGACCCTGAACCGAGTTCAAGGTTGAGGCTTCGTAGGGCTCGGTTAGGGGCAAAAAGGGTTCTGTCTTTGCTGCGAAGCATAAAACCCTGGCATAGAAGCACGATTTTTGCACGTAGCCCATATAGGATTTACGTTTTAGGCCTTTGCAGGGCCTGAGCTCACCTGCACTCAAACTAAGCCCGAGTGCAAAAAGCCTCTTTGCTTGGGCTGGGTGCAGAGATTCGGGGGCGTAAGGTTGAGGGTTGCGTATGTAGGCTTGGCAGCCCAGTGGTACCCTTTACCCTTTTTTTTTTTATGGCTTCCCTTGTAAAAATAGCCAACCCAGAAAAGGGTGCCCTTATCACAATATGGTTACTGGGCTACCATGTGACTAAGCGGGCCTGACGCCTGGCGTGAAGCAGTTCCCAAGTCAAAGGAAGGGTTGATGGAACCTCGGAGGGCGCCCCAGGTTGGTAGTTCCAGAGTGACCTAGAAACAAACACCCTCATTTCGACACCCGAATTTTCATAAAGACGACCAGAGCCTTCAAACAAGCAACATGGACCCCTCAACTAAGAAATCCATTATTTGGGCGTAACTCGGGTGTAAGTATCTCAAATTAAGGCGTCTCATAGGTAAAAATGGTCCCTGCTCCCCTGGCCCTTACCCCCCCCCCTCCCCCCCCCTCCCCCCCTCCCCCCCCCCCCCCTCCCCCCATGGTATCCCACCCCTCTCTGGTAGAGCTCCCTACGCCCCCCCCCCACCCCCCATAGTCTAGCACAGCCTCTACGCCTCCAAAGTCCAGTTGCAAGTGGTTGGGGGGTTCGGTATCACTGGCTCTGTCTTCTACTTTTGCGACTGCCACTACTACAACTGCACCGACCAGGAATAAGTACAAATACAATAACTACAACTGCTACCAGTGCTGGTGCGACTGCCGACTACCACTACTTCTGCTTCTTCTTCTTCTTCTTTTTCTTCTTCTTCTACAACAACTACAACAACACCACCGTCAACACCGTAGAGGATGCCAGTTACTAGCTTCAATGTCCCCCCAAAAAACCCTTTGTAACCCGTATGGGGGCGCGTGGCGTGCCGCTCTCTTCATGGCACAACATGTGCCACACCACAGGGGGTGCGCAGGGGTAGGACGGGTGGCTGGTCTCGGGACTGGAGATCCAAGAAAGGGCGTGGGGGGGGGGGGGGGGGAGGATAGGTCTTAGGGTAGTTCATGGTCTTTATACGGGCCCTTATAAGGGGGACGCCGTATATGTCCCGCATATACCCTACACAACCCAAGGGCCCATACATCGGAACCCTCAAGGAGGTATGGGGACCACATTAAGGGCCCATGTGGGGGCAGCCTTGCACCAAAAAATCTGTAAAAATTCGAGACCCTCAGCCCTTATGAACGAAGGTGTGCTCAGAATGTTTAGGCTCTTGGGGGGGGGGATATCACACACATGGTAGGAGATCCGAGACCCCCCCAACCAGTCTTAACTCTTAGCAGAATGAAGTTCAGGATGATGCAGGGGTGTAGGTGTTAAGGCTCCAGGGCCTGCATGCATAAAGAAGGGTTTAGGGTTTAGGGTTTGGGTTTCAGGTTTTAGGGTTTAGGGTTGAGGGTTTAGGGTGTGGAAGGCGCCTAAAACCCTGAACTCTGATCCTTGAGCTTGCCTAAACCCTGGAGCCTGAAATACGCTTCAAGCTTCGTGATGGCGTGTGGGACTTACTGTAGGTTGCTAGGGAATGAGGGATTGAGGGGTACCCTAGATTCCCCTGTATCTACCCTTTAAGGGATGATGTAGGGTGCTGCATTCCCCCATTCTCTGCGAACCAACGGTAAGGGTGATGCTTCTAGAATGTGATGCTGGCCACTGCTAGCTCGTGTAAGAAACGTAGTCATATGGGGGTTTACGAAAATAGGCAACCCCGAATGTAGACCCCCAAATAGTAGGATTCCCTTACAATAGGGACCCCAAGAAGGTACCCCCCCCCCCCCCCCCCCCAAAAAAAAAAAAAAATCGGAAACCCCCATATATAAGAGAGGGTCTTGAAGAGAGGGTTCCTCATGCGTTGCCTGGCGCTGCTACCCTCTGGATGCAACGGCAGAGACAGAGAGAGAGAGATAGAGAGAGAGAAGAGAGGGTTTTTAAGAGCCCCTGAAGGTTGTTTTTGAGTTCACGAACGCGACAAGTCAGCTTGATGGGACCGGGCTCGGCATGGGAATACCCTTATTCAGGGTTTAGGGTTTGGGGTTTCGGTTTTGGAGGTTAGGGCTCACTTCATACCCCTAAGAGAGCTGTTGGTACATGTGCCTAAAACCCGAATCCCTAAACCCGAATTCCTAGTACAAGGTTCTAAGCGGTGTTGGATTCTCCTGGGTCGTTAGGGTGAGTTTGGTTGCGATGATGAACCCCAAACGGGTTTGAGAGGCCATTGAGGTTTCTGGGTTTAGGGTTTAGGGTTTAGGGTTTTGAGGTTCCTGGGTTTAGGGTGTATAGGGTGTTTAGGGTTGTTCGGGCTTCGGGGTCGAGGGTTTGGGGGGGTATGGTCGTCCACTATACTTGAAAGATTGGGATTCGAGTTGGCGCGGCCTATCTGCCTGCCAGAGTAAGTAGGCCCTATTCCCTGTTCGTTAGGGTTTGGGTTACCCGGCGCGCTCCGGGTCTGGTATGGGCCAGTTCTGTTTAACTCTAGAACCCAAAGCCCCAAACCCAAACCCCCCCCCTCCCCAGCTTTGGGAGTCGAAGGAGTTCTTTTCCTTCTGTGTTGTCCATGAGGCGAAACGCCAGCCAATGCTTGGTGCTGTAGTGAGTGGGTTTAGAGTTCAGGGTTCAGGGTGCTGCCCCATGCAGTTGAAGATGCAAGAACCCGAAGCCTCATATGAGCCCCGATCACTACTATTTGCCTTAAGAACCCCTACGAAATCAAAGCATAGTCTTCCAGACAAGGGTAATGTAGGGATCATTATCATTCCTTTGTTTTGGGAGTTCTCAAGCAAATAGTAGATCAAGACCTTAAAGCCCCCAAGCCCTTAGTCTGTGCCGCAGGATTTCCCTGCGCATGGAGGGTGATCTCCAAGGGCTTCGAGATTTGGACGCCCTCTGCGTGTCCTTCACGTCGAACGTGACGAAGCTTGCAGCTCAAACCATGGATCCATCTGCAGAAGACAAGGTTGAGCAGCTGATGAAAACGCACAGACCCTTCACCTTGCTTCATGATGCTTGGCAGCTCAGTGGTACCCTGTACCCTTTTTTTTGTTGGGTTCAAGGTCTCCTTTGTAGAGTACCCAACCAAAGAGAGGGTTCCCCTTTCTGCAAGATGGCGGCTGGGCTACCGAGGACGAAGGCCTTGTCGAGCTAAGTCAGCTTCTTGACCAAGGAGCAGTGAAGAACTTCGTCAACCTCACAGCGTCACAGAAACTTGGTGGCGCAATGGTGCCCTTTTTCCATTTTTTTGGGGGGTTCAAGGTCACCTTCTAACAGCAACCAACCCCCCAAAAAGGGTGCCCTTGTTTATGATATGGTTACCCTAAACCCTAAACCCTAAACCCTAAACCCTAAACCCTAAACCCTAAACCCTAAACCCTAAACCCTAAACCCTAAACCCTAAACCCTAAACCCTAAACCCTAAACCCTAAACCCTAAACCCTAAACCCTAAACCCTAAACCTTAAACCCTAAACCCTAAACCCTAAACCCTAAACCCTAAACCCTAAACCCTAAACCCTGGGCTACCAAGGAAGGCTGAAGCCAGCCGTGTCTTAGCAGACGTCACTGACCTGATTGAGAGGCTTGCGGGCAAGCTCCGCAGCATCAGGGATGGGACAGCTGCCAGGCATGGGTTTAGGGTTTAGGGTTTAGGGTTTAGGGTTTAGGGTTTAGGGCTCAGGGATGGGACAGCTGCCAGGCATGTCTCAGAAGAGGCTTTTGCTTCGGACCATACATGGGTTCCCAAATTAGGGGTACCTCTGTGGGTCCTTTTAATAAGGGAATCCTACTAGTCCGGGTCTGCATTTGGGGGTCCCCTATTTTCGTAAACTCCCGCCTGGGGCAAGCCAGCCTCATACTCAACTTGCAACTGAGTTGCCGCACCCAAGTCCGGAACTTCGAGGGGTCACAGCATTCCTCAGTAGTCAGCTTTTTGCTGCGACCTTTCATTTCCTACAGTGCCAGGCTTGTGGGCACACAAAAAAAAACTAACCCTAAACCCTAAACCTCTTAAACCCGTAACCCCAAGAAACATAAGTGTTGAGCTGCGCCTCTTGGAGAGTTTGCAACCCTATTTAATTCATTCTGGGCTGTGCTTTGTTGTTTGAAATTCCCTTCTTTCCTTATGAGGCAACCTAATCATCAATAATGTTCAGAAGGATTTTATTGCACGACTCAGTAAGATAACCCGGCTGCAAGTCATTTTCGAAGCGGATGCTTGAAAGGTGTTCAGGCACGACCGATTTCAAGAGCCCCTGGCATGAAAAAAAAGCCTCATGCCACTCTGCTTCTCCGTGGTTACCAAGCGCGGAGGTGTGCAAACCTCTCCAGACAGCCCAGGGCTCCGCCTTCAATGAACTGAGGTCCCACACACCGAGCCCTCACACCCGCTCATAGTCGCGAGTATTGGACCCCCCCCCAGCGCCTCTAGCGCTCACGCCAGACCTCAAACTCAACAACATCAAAAACCGAAATCCGAACTCTGGCTTGGGGATCGGGCAGAAATCACGGTAGACAACATGGGTGGCAAGATCACACACTTGCAGATGCTCAGGGACTTGGTGTGTCTTTGCGCGGCTTCAGCTCTTAGTTTCTGATACTTCCGCCATTGTTTCTGGGCCTGTCATCCTCCAGACTCATCATACTTGCTCCCAAAGTGGCGTCGTAGCTTGTTTACGGGGTGTTTGGTCATTGGCTGACAGAAGCTCAGCGTGACAGAGCAGTTCGGAGTATTGGGCTCTGTGGGAAACTGGACTGGGCCGGGGGTTTAGGGTTTAGGGCAAAGTTTAGGGCTTAGGGTTTAGGGTTTAGGATTTAGGGTTTAGGATTTAGGGTTTAGGATTTAGGGTTTAGGGTTTAGAGTAGGGGTTAGAGCCTATTAGGGTTGATGTACATCGCCGCTTTGCCGAGGTTACGGAGATCGCCAAGTCCCCCAGCTCTCCATGCGAAGGGCGATGGAAACTTTGGGGTTTCGGGCTTGGGCCAGGAGGGTTTAGGGTTTATGGTAAAAAAGGGTCTAGGGTTTAGGTTTTTTTTTTTTTTTTGGGGGGGGGGGGGGGGGGGCGGTTTGGTGTCGAGTTTACGGCTCACAAGGTTTGGGTGAGCATTCCGGCACCATTTTGCGTCATCCAAGCGCACCTAAACTCTTGCACTTTATGCTCTGACTTGCTTACTTCGCCAACCAATTGACTTTTAAATGTTTGGGTTCTTATTTTTAGTAGGAATCATACAGTCCAACCTTTAATTATTCCTCTGGTTATTGGAGAAGAAAGCTTAAGTTTCCATCGAAAACCCCAAACCCCAAACCCCAAACCCTAAACCCGAAACCCTAAACCCGAAACCCTAAACCCTAAACCCTAAACCCTAAACCCAGAGCAGCCGAGGTCTGCCGAGGATGGCGTGGAAAGCACCGAGCCGGAGTGGTCCTTCTTGGCGAGCCAGGTGCAGAACGTGGGGGCAGCCCTCAAGGAGCCCTTCAGGGTTTGGGGGTTAGGGTTTAGGGTTTAGGGTTTAGGGTTTAGGGTTTAGGGTTTAGGGTTCAGGGAGGGTTCAGGGTTTAGGGTTCAGGGTTTAGGGTTTAGGGTCCCAGTTGCAAAAAAGGGTTTCAGGTGGTTAAGTTGTTTAGACAAGTGGGGCCCAAACTCCAACTCCTAAACCTGACATAAAGCTTTGTTGACCCCTATCGCCCTCGAGTTTACAAAGGCTTAGTCAGTCCTTGTGACACCCCGCCCTGGTCTGCACATTAGTGTTTTGGGTTTGGGTTTAGGGTTACGGTTTTGGGTTCAGGCCACAGGCCCGAAACCCAAAACCACATACAACCACACTGCACGTGCTTGTGCTCTTCTTGAATCCGTCATCTTCTTTTTGATGGTGGAGGTGGGCTCCTAAGTACTGTCGTCAGTCCGAACGCTTATGAGGCAGGCACGCGCTTCCGTAAAAAGAAACCCGATGAAACCCTGAAACCTATTCTCTGCTTGAGACCCAGGTTGGGCAAGAAGCCCGAAACAGACAACAAAAACAGCAGTTAGGGTTTAGGGTTTAGGGTTTAGGGTTTAGGGTTTAGGGTTTCGGGTTACGGGTTTCGGGTTTCGGGTTTCGGGTTTCGGGCCGCGCGCCACTCACGCTCCGAGCACGCTCAACCCAAAAGCCTGGAACCCCTGAGCCCCGAAAGCCCTAAACCCTAAACCCTAAACCCCAAACTTCCAGTGGCGCGCAGAACTCACTCTCCCAGCTGGCGTGGCTGTACTCCCTGCTTGGGGGTGTGATCCTTGGCAACCAAATGAACCCTAACATTGGGATCATGTACCCTCTACTACTATAGCCGCTAATTATGAAGGCAATATGGACCCTAAGCCCTAAACCTAAGCCCTAAACCCTAAACCCTAAACCCCAAACACAAGGAGAAACACCAAACCCTGAACCCTTTTAGCGTTCACTTGGCCGCCAAGGATGATGGCTTCCGTCCTGGTGGTCATGTCACTTGCAGTAGCGTACGTCTTCTCGCTGTATCATCGCAGCAAGGACTTGAGGTTTAGGGTTTAGGGTTTAGGGTTTAGGGTTTAGGGTTTAGGGTTTAGGGTTTAGGGTTTAGGGTTTAGGGTTTTTCGGCAGACTTCAGAGGCCTGGATGTAAGAGAAAAGATTCAGGCGCAAAGAAACCAGACTAGAGTTGGGTTTTGGGAGGTACCTAAGTTCATTATCGTGTACTACGGATGGGCCTTCTGGATTTTGTTCCGAACTTCCGCCACAATACAAGCCGTTCATGTAGTCATTCGAGTAGGAGTATCTCTTCATCTGAAACCCTAAACCCCAAACCCTAAACCCTCAACCCTAAACCCTGAACCCTAAACCCTGAACCCAACTAAACCCTCTTGGGGCGTTGGGGGCCATGGATGGAGTGAGAACGGCACCTATTTGGACTTCGCCGATGACCTGGATGGCTGGAAAGGCTGTATCCTGCGTGCTCTTCGCTGCGTTGTGAACTCCTTCAGCTGCGTGGCCGTCGAGCTGCTTCTGGACCGGGTTTGGGGTTAGGGTTTGGGGTTTAGGGTTTATAAGGCTTAAGGGTTTAGGGTTTGGGTTTAGGGCGGTTGCAGGAAAAACAAGGGTTTGCTGGCGGCGTTCGGCATAGGAGATTCGGCTTGATAAAAGAACGGGCTGTAGGGCACTGTCCGGACAGTCCAGGTGTTTCTAAACCCGAACCCTAAAGCCTGTGGGTTCAGGGTTCCCCTGAGCCCCTTAGGATTAGGTTCCCCTAAACCCTAAACCTTAAACCCTTAACCCTAAGCTCCTAAACCCTAAACCCCAAACTTAGAGGGTCCCCAAACCCTGGGTTTCTAAACCCTAGAACCGCCAGGATGTGCTTGCCGTCATCCTCCTCGTCTTAGCCCTGGTCTTCAGCACCCTTGCTGGGGTCCACTTGGCAGTGCCCGAGCTGTGGTTTAGGGTTTCGGTTTAGGGGTTAGGGTTTAAAAGGGTTTAGGGTTTATCCCCTAACCCTACACTACACCCTTAAACCCTGAGCCGTAGGCTTTGAGCCCCCACAACTAGAGGACAAGTCTACGCCCCGCTCAGGTGTATTCAGCTTGTCAAGCGGACCCCATCTTAACGCACAACACTGCCTGCACGCAGGCCTGGTCAAAAAGGGTCGGTGTAGGTTGTGGGGTCACCATTTACTCCGGCAAATGGGGAGAAGGGCCGTTGAGTCAACAATGCTGCGCGGCCATCGATGGGTGTGACTCTGTGCCATTCGCGTCGTGAACTTTTGCCACACAAATTTGTTGCATGGGGGCCACCAGGTTGCACAGGCTGCCAGCTCTAACCCTTCAAGCCTTCCATCCCCAAACCCAAGCCGAAACCTTAAAGACCTGAACTGTGAACAGAGTATAAGAGGAGGGGGCGGGGTGTAGCGAAGTGTAAAGGTAGGTTGCTGTCAGCAGGCCGTCGAGAGCTTCAGCCACGTGCTTCAGGAGCAGGACTTCTTTGCAGGTCACACGTGCGAACGCGATGGGATCCTCATGTGTCAAGACGCTGCTTTGCTGTTCCGGTGATCTGTGATGGTTGTACAGAAAAAGTTGAGACACAGCACTCCCCCCTGTCCCCTTCAACGCTGGAACAAGCAAAGCCCTGCACTCCTAAACTAGGACCCAGAGTAGGCCCTGCTTTCCATTTTTTCAAGTTCCCCTTATAAGCCCCTTCAAGACACAAAGGGCGGTCTTCTCATTCCTAGGTTACTCTTGGGTTTAGCAACCCTAATCTAGGGGCAGTTTCATGGGACCTATGGTTGTTTGAGGAACCCTTAGTTTAGTCGCAAAGGTTTATAGGGGCTATATAAGGGGCCCCCATCTACAGGCCCATACTTACTACCCTGAGACCTAAACCCCAGGCAAACAAAAATATTTTAGCACACGGAAAGTTACCCTAAACCCTAAACCCTAAACCCTAAACCCTAAACCCTAAACCCTAAACCCTAAACCCTAAACCCCCTCCCAGGTTGTTGTCAGCAGTTCATCATGGCCGGTGCTGGTTGCCGTCATTATCCCGACTGTGGGGGCGCTGTTGCAAGATCTGCAGGGCCGTCCTTTTCCTTGTTCGTTCAACCCTAAAAACCCTGGTCTAAACCCCTAAACCCTAAACCCTAAACCCTAAACCCTAAACCCTAAACCCCAAGCAAAGAAAAGCCCGAAACCCCAGAGGCTAGTCCCTACACAACGCCTAGGTGGGGGTTTGGGACATTCTTTTTTTCCCCCTTCTTGACACTTGCAACCGCGTGTCTTGCTCCAGAAACGTCAAACCTTGGCAAAAACGCTGTAAACACCCATGTTGGGCAAGGTCCCCCCCTCCCGCCCTCCCCCCACCCCTCCCCCCGACCAAGCCCCAAAGCCCCAAGGCAAAGCCTCAACCTCAAATCCCTATCCCTAAACGGTTTAGGGTCTGGAGTTTGGGGTTTAGGGTTTAGGCACCAATTAGGGGGTTTCACCTGCCTAAGCCTTGTGACTTAGAAGGACACAACTGCTCCGCCACCCAGGTTGACGTGCTGCCTTTCGCGGCAGGTGGTCGTGGAGCGACACGAGGCGCAGCTCCGTGCGGAGTATCTTAGTCGCTGAGTGAGTGCACTGTACACTTTTTGGGATACTATAACCCCTATAAAACTGAAAGTGTGCACCTTTTGGGGGCTTCTGAACTCAGGTATGGTCTGTACGATTGAAAGACCATCCTCTCGCGCGGCTCGGTCGTTTAGGTTCAGGGGGTTAGTTGGGGATTTGCTTGCAATATTGTTCCCTAAACCCTAAACCCTAACCCCTAAACCCTAAACCCCTTGATTAAACGCCTTCCCGGTCCTGCTGAGCTTGAATATCCCTGTCAGCCTCGATGACCCTTCCTTTATTAGGCTTGTATTCTATGCCGACAACCGCACGGAGAGCTCGGGATGCAGAGAAAAAGGAAAGGCAATTGAATATGCGAGACTAACATAATGTAGGGTTTAGGGTTTAGGATTAAGGGTTTAGGGTTTAGGGTTTATATGTAATTCGCAATGACCTAGGGGCAATTCATAAGATCAATGTAAAGCAGGCAGCGCGTGAGACCAATGTAGCAGCACAGGGTAAGACCAATACAATAGTACAATTGAGAGCAATAAAAAGAAGGAATTGCGATAAGAATATTCGTTTGGCCATACTAGAGATCTTATATGGGGATCATCGATATTTTTGGCTGAATCGATTCTATTGGGAGAAGATATGAATAATTGATCATTCAAATCTATGATATATCATGGACATGATGATTTCGAATATCTAATTCTTATTTCGTCGGGATTTGAAAGACTATCACGAAATTTCAGATTGGATTCTGATATATTTT